ATTTCAATTCCCCCCCCCCCCCATTCATCCAACCCCCAACAATACCTTTGAACGACAGAATGGAATATCGCGGCGAGCCAGGACTCTGATTGATCATACAGCTTTCCATTTCCTCTTTAGTGAACGGCTGACTATGTCTCTTCTTGTTCGCATACCACAGGAAGATATTTTTAAATGCATTTTCATTTGAACACGAGCCGCACATCATCGTCGTGATGTGCGTAAGGCCCGGGGGCACTACCCCAGGCCTCAGTAGAATACTTTTCAGTTTCTTTGGCCAGTCCCCACCGGGGAAGACCCCCAGGGCGGGCCTGTTGACGATCGACCTCTGGTTGTGGGGATCGGAGAGGGCCTCCAGCATCGCCGGGTGGTTGTACCCCAGGGGCATTGAGGATATTTGCATGTAGACATCCAGCAATGTGTTACCATCCACATCGACTATGTAATTCCCTGATGATTTGTCGTAGTCAGCGAACAATTGAACCGTTGCGGCTTGCTGCAACGTGTGTTGACTTATTTAAATAAGGAAGTGGAAAAACAAGATGTGGAAATTGAGAGGTGGAGTGGCGCAACTGGAGATAATTCGATTTTTGTTGATTGAGTTTATGAAATATGACAGCAATGAGGACAATTTGTCCGTTGATCACTACCACACGTATGAAAAAATCGTGTAGAAATTTTCTGTACGGATTGCGTATAGAAATTCTATAGGATTTCCGTATATGATATTCGGATATTTCTATACGAATTATTTCTATACATAAATTTTTACATAAATTTTTGTTTTCATACGAAAGATGTCTAAACGCTCCAGAGAAAAACGTAGAGAAATGTCGCAACTCCACTCCAAAATGTGTAAGTCAAAATATAAAGGTCAACATATAAGAATCAAAATGTAAAGGTCAAAATCTAAACTTCAAAATCTGAGGGTAATAACGTAAAGGTCAAAATAGAAGGGTCAAAATTAAGCATCAAAATTTAACGGTCCAAAAGTAAGAGTCAAAATCTAAGGGTCAGAGTAAGGGTCAAAATATAAAGGTCAAACTGAGGGCCAATTATTATAGTTTACATAAAAACTCTGGTAAACATTAAAAAAATATTACTTATCCCCCTTAAATTTGATGTTTCATCATCAAAATTTCATAAGTCATGTTCAAGCTGAAAATAATAATAATCCCACCTGATATTTATTAAGTTCCTGCAACAACTCTCTCGATTGAGGTCCAGGTATCTCAGTCTTGACCTTCGGAGCCTTCGGCTCTGCAGCCGTCGTCAGGCATCTCGGATGGCTTTTACCTTGAACATTTCATAATGCAAAATGTCAATAAAATTGAGTGAAGAGACGTGCGTTTTCATAGCGATATCAGGCCACGTCTCCCTGCGTAAATCCCCACGAGCTCCATCGATTTAGTTTGATTAATATCACTTAAAGCTAAGTGGCCTTCTGCCACTGGATCCAATGAACTTGGATTATTTTTAACTGGATGGATGTGTTCATTATCAATTTCGTAATAGATAAGATAAGCGTAATTGTTTATCGAAGCTTTTCTGGCGTATCAGGAGAACGCACGTGTAAGTTCATTCCTCCTCAAAATGTTTGTTCAGTTTCTTCTTATTCATCCATTTTTTTCTCATCGTTAAAAAATAGTATGTCGTGTTACTAGGGCGTAAAGTTCCACTTTTTCACACGTACGTGTAACAAATCCTATTTTTTGTGGTACCTGCCGAGGTCATCGGTCGGAACGGTAGTGGGGGCAATGTGATTGTTTTTGTGCACGAGTGCGTAAAGTTCAAGAGCATGCGTAAAGTAAACTGCGCACGCGGTGCGGAAAACAACCACTTTACGCACACTAAACCGTTTCGAAAAGTGCACTTTTGAGGCCGGCATCACAAAAATGTTGGACTACAATTTTGGAAATGAATACTTTGGAATATTTTTAGGTAGAGTATTTCAGGAATTAAAGAAAGGGAAAAATTACTTGCCTTTTATTGACCATTGTTTTTGATGACAAGTTTCGGGAAGAATTTTTTAAAATAAGAATTGAAGTGGAAATTTTATGAAAAAAAAATTGAGAATTTTTTTTTCGGAGGAATCTAGCCGGGATAGGAAAGAAGTATTGATAATATTTAAAAGGATGAAATAAGAATGTTTATCGAAGCCTTTCTGGGTTATCGAGAGAATGCGAGTTAATTTCTTCTGAAGAGATGTTTTCTTTGAATTTCGCCCTCAAAATTTCTTCTTATTCACCTGTTTTTTACTGTTAACAAAAATCTTCAACTATAATTTCGGAAATTAATGATCTAAAATATTTTTTATATCATATTTTCTATTATATTTTTTATATCTAAAATATTTATTGAGAATTTTTTTTTCGGAGGAGTATAGCCGGGATAGGAAAGAAGTATTGATAATAATTAAAAGGATGAAATAAGAATGTTTATCGACGTTTTTCTGGGGTATCGAGAGAATGTGAGTTAATTTCTTCTGAAGAGATGTTTTCTTTGAATTTCGCCCTCAAAATTTCTTCTTATTCACCTGTTTTTTTACTGTTAACAAAAATCTTCAACTATAATTTCGGAAATTAATGATCTGAAATATTTTTCAATACAATATTTCAGGAACTTAACACAAAGAATTTCGGGAAGAAATTTTGGAAAACGTAAGTCAAGGGGAAATTTTTTAAAAAGAACATTTTGGAATAATCTTTTTTGGAGGAATATAGCCCGGATAGGAATGAAGTATTGATAATTTTCCGTACCTTGGAATAATCCAGGGAGGATTGATCGACCTCGAGAGAGGCTGCAACCCTTCGTCAACATCCTCAGGGATGTGAAAGGCAGAGTGACAGCTTCAAGGAACTAGTTCAATATTTGTAATTAAATGCCACCGATTTTTTAATGTTTACTCCTTGATTGACAGGCGCACGCACGGGCCTGGTGCAGAGCAGAAGTACGACTATTCGACTATTATGAGGTAGTGTCAAAACCGGTCTTGATACGGATACCAGTGCGCACACTCGAACCTAGTGCGAGGTCATTCATTCGAAATGATGATCCGGGGAAGAGGAGAATTGTAAGGAGTTTGGGGTGCAGTCGGATTTATGGAGGGAGGGGTGGAATGAGATAATTTCGAAGGGCTTTTAGGATGGGGAGAATATTTTTGTCAATAACTGCTAGATGATAAATTTTTTATGAAACCAATCTGGTGGTAATTTTGAATTTTCCAGCCACAGTAGGAAATTGAAGATCTTGAGATGAGAAAAATTGCCGGAGGTTGGGCTTGAACCTACGACCCTTGGGTTTCCAGTCTGACCCTTTACACATACGGATATCCATTCGGATTCCTTCCCAATACAGAATCAATCATCGACATCTGAAACAGAATTTCAATTACAAATAGAAAATTACAAATAATCTCCATCACCACCTGAAGCCATCAAAAACACCCAGGAACAATAATTTTAATCACTTAAACTCTTCATTTTTCTCCACTTCATGAATTATTGTTTTAAGAGAAAATATCAAAAAACCTTCTTTATGGATCACAAAATTCTCTCCTAAAGAGGTATGAAGAAATCTCTCTAGGTGAGGTTGGGGTAAAATGGACACTTTTGATTTTTTTTTAAATATTAGTGACGGGTTAAAATGTTGATGAAATTTAATCATTTTTTTTCAATACAAAGAACAATTCTTTCCCTTCGTGTTGAGCCTAAACTGAGCTCTATTGATACATTTCAGTAGCGAAGCGGTAAACCGGGTTAATTCGATTTTTACTATTGGCTAGTTTTTGACGAATATCTCGGAATCTAAAAGAGATAGAAAGATTTTTGTCATGACCTTTTTTGTAGAGCCAATAGAGCGTTATAAAAAAAGTCATGAGAAAAATTTTGCTATCTCTCTTAGATTCCGAGATATTCAGCAAAAACTAGCTAATAGTCAATATCGACTTAACTCGGTTTACCGCTTCACTACTGATTTGTTTCTGAGTTATGAATAATTTTAAAAAAGTCTAAAATGTCCATTTTACCCTACCCTCCCCTATATAATAAAATCGTAATTTCAGCTAATGCAAAAATTTTCAGGGTTCATGAGGGTCAGAATAAGGGCCGGAAACGTCAAAAGCAATTCACATTCAACCATTTCCCTACCTCCGCGCAATTACCTCTCAATCGCGTAAGTCCCTTCAAAAGCACCAAAACATCCAAAAGATTTTCAACAAAAATTTTCCTCAACAATAAATTACAGAATCTAAACAATACAGAATTTAATGCACTCATGCAACCAAATAATCCCCATCACCACCTGAAGCCATCAAAAACACCCACGAACATATTTTTAATCACTTAAACTCTTTATTCTTGCGTACCTCCTCAATTACATGATTTTTTTCCTCAAAATTTTGTATTTTTTTTCTTGACAAAATAAAAAGTTGTCGATACTCAAAACCCAACGAAAAACGATACTCCCCAGTGGCTAAGCGACTGGCCCTACCTCCTCCCTCAATTATCACCTATTTATTGTTAACCTTATCCTAATTATCCTTAAAAATTAATCCGTGATAAATTCAACTCGTCCACCTACTTGCAATGAAAGCTACAATTATTTCTTTATTATCATAATAAAAATAAGGAGCAGAAAATAGTGCTTACACACGTTAATATTACAATTTAAACGTTCAACTTGTGAAAAATAATGTTAATGAAATTAATTCTAAATGTAATGGTCACACCGATATTCTCCATCATTATCTCATCACCAGAATTACATCGAGCAATTTGAATTAAAAATACTGTACAATCATTCGCTTTTTGTTTACCCTGGCATAAAAATTTACATCTGTTTTTTTCTTTTCCCTCTCGTTAAGCAATTTAATGAAGAAATAATTATTAATAACGAAAAAAAAAAATTAACAAGTAATGCTCAATGAGCTGATTATTCAGTGGAGTTAATGAGAATCAGACCATCTTCGATTATCGAATTGTCATAAAAATGTCACATTTCAATGGATAAATCGGCATTTATCATTCATCTGCAATTATTTACAATGCTAATGGTGATTTTTCATCAATGCTTTTTGACACTCTGCTTCAATTATCTTACCCTAAACATCGTATGTATCGTTTTATAAACACTTTCATAGAAAATTTATAGTGATTAAAACAACTTAAGTCATTACTCGTTAAGCATAATAAACAAATTTGTACAATTTATTATGCGTATACCTAAATTCATCCCTCAGTAAACTATTAAAGTGTAAATTCTTCACACGTTATTACAATTTAAAAAAAAAATGTTCAGGGGAGTAACATTGACTTAATTGTAAGCCTCGCAATTACCTCGCAAAGTTCGTTCCAGTCGACTCAATTCGTTATTTCGTCCTTTTAATAAATAAAAAAATGGGTTTTGCGGGGGGGGGGGTAAAAACACTGAGTTCTGTTTCACTAGTGCCTGGCGAATCATTTGCTCTCGGAAAACTTCTCCCTAAGACTCTTAATCTTGTGGACGAAGTAGGTTTCTAAGGATTCAGCACACTTGAAAAATGGGGACTCCTTGGGGTTGTAGTAGCGACAGTTGTCGAATATTTTTGTCATGTCGCCGATGAATTCACTGAGTTTCTTGTAGGAACGGTCGTTTATTCGGAGCTCAATTGTTTGGAGATCTGAAAGGTGATAGATTTGTTAGAAAAAGAAGTCGACAAAAATCACTAGTTTAGCTTAGGATTAAGGTAATTAGTCAACTTCATTAATTTAGTTTACATTAAATAATAACTATAGGTCAATAATTTTTGTTGAACTTTGAAAATAGTTTTAGTTGTAAATTATTGTTGAACAATTAATTGTAAATTTGTGAATTAGATTTTTCGACTAATCAATTGATTATCGGAAAAATTAGATTGATGATTAAGTTAATGATAATTTAAACAATTTCGTAATACTAATCAACTAATTTTTTATGCAATGGAAAAATGGTAATCCTACATTATGATTTTGCCAATCTTTGGTTGGAAAATAATAAAAATTTTCAATTTCAATGAAAATTCAAAAGAATGTAGAATTTTTCAGCAGCAGATAAACCAGAATTTCCAAACTTATGTGAATTTTAAATCAAAACTTCAATATTCAGTGCTAAAAAATGCTCAATTTTCAATTCCTATTAATTTATATGAAATGAAAATTAGCTTTAATTGATTAATTAATTGGTAAAATAATTCCAATTGATTGACGAATGAATGAATGAATTACTTTGACTCATTAATTAATATCAATTAAACTGTAATTTTAAGTTTCCATAAATTTATACATCAAATTGTGAATTTTCCACATGATGAAATTTTGTAAAATTCACTCGATGAAAATTTTCAACTTTATAATGCTTACCCATTGGCTCTTTGATGACTTTGTAATAATCAGGGGCCTCATTAGGATCGACGGGCTCCATAAAAGGCCAAGCACTCTTGTGAGCCTACAACAATCCCAAAACACAAGAAATTAATGAAAGAAAGAAATAGAGGAACTGAATAGAAATTAATAAAAACTAAATACGATTTTTTCTTGTAATTTCAAAAATTCACACAAAAATCACTTGGAAATTTCCTCCTAGAACAACTTATTACCGAAATGATGAACAATTAACGAAACAGAAAATTGACTCAAGAAATGCCTCTAAGGATAAATAATCTGTTCGGAATTAAGGAACATATCAAGAATTTTTACTAAAATCCTAGTGAAAAATACATTGAGTTGTAATGAGTCGATTGTGATGATTTTATTGCAATGATTTTAGGTAAAAAAGTCATGAAAACATTCATTCATATCCTAAATGTCATAATTTTTAGAAATAAACACTCCAACACATTTTACCAATTTAAAAAATCGAATATTTCGAGTGATAGTTTACCAAAACTATTGAAATTTCATGCAAAATTCCGCAATTCCGTCTAGAGTTTTTGGTTTATCACCATCGAATTGCTAAATACTTCTCAACAGGTATTTTTCCCCCAGGAGGGAAACATCTGCTGAAAATTCGGGAATATTCCAGTAATTTTATTAATATCCCAGTAGAAAATACATCCAGTTGAGTAAAAATTCAATATTGCAAAATAAAACAATCCACGAATAAAAATCTCACAAAACAAAATCACTTTTCACTGAAAAAGAAATCCAAAACATTTAAGCGGTAAAAAATTCAATATTTAATTTAGAAACTCCTCAAAAACATTGCAATTCCCATTTAAAAAAAATGTATTTTTGACTTCCACTAAAAAACCTTCAAGGCCCCACGATTCACGAAATTCCCAAATAATAATCCCCCCCCCCCTCCCCGAGAAAATAAAATAAACTCTCCTCACCTGGATATGTTTAATAAGTTTCTTCAGTAAATCCAGATCCTTCGCACTAAGATTCTTCATATTAGCAAAATTAACCGACGAATTTCTCTGGCAGTTGGGACACACATACTCATCAATATTATCGGCCTCAGACTGTAGAATCCCAACACACCTGCCATGAAACCAGTCCTGACACTTGTCACAGCAGATATAAAACTGAGATTCATCATAAGGCTGTTTGCACAAGCAATAGAGTTCCTGCGTATCCCTGGCATGTCTGCACTCAGTGCAAACAAATTCAGAGAGGCTCTTGCTCATCTCCTCAGTGATGCCCACGCACTCTCCATGAAACCAATTATTACACAGATCGCAGCCAACGTAGAACTTGGTCTCGTCATAAGGAGTTCTGCAGAGACAATAGAGCTTCTGCTTCTTCACTCGTCCAGCAGAAGGGCCCCCAGGAGGTGTAGTTGCACTGCCCGAGGACCTGTGCTTCTTCGCTTTATTCCCTTTGCCGGAGGGGCTCATTTGCCCCGGAGACTGGCCCACAGCCTTCCTCTTCCCCCCGACCTTCACCTCATCCTGTTTATGCCTCTCAGCCTTGGTTCTGCTAGTCAACTCAGCAGAGAGATCCTTCTGAATGTCTATCTGCAATTCCTTCTCCAACAACGCCCTCTTCTTCAGTATATCCTTCTTCAAAAGCTCCTTGTGCCTGAACAACAACACCTGCATCCTAGAGTGCACCTGCTGCTGCCTCCTGGCCTCCTGACTCTCCTTGATTTTGATGGACCTCTTGGATGTCTCATCCTCAATCTTCGGGATCTTCGTGGGGCTCTCCTTGATCTCCTTCACCTCCTTGGGCTCCTGCTTTATTACTATCTTCTTTCGAGGATCTTGAAGATTGGAATCTTTGTCGTTGATCGCTGGAGAATCTTTCTGAGAGACTGGATTGATCGTTGCTGGACGTTTTCTGGATGGTGCCCTAGATATTGGAGTTGCTGGTGTCTGGGCTTGACTATTAGGAACGGAATCCACCTTCATCTGCTTCTCCTGGTACCTCTGCAGCTGGAGGAGCTTCTCCTCGATCTCAGGATTCAGGTTCTCCTGTTTCAGTGCATTTTTTATCGTCTGTTGAATGTAGTCAGGTGTCAGGATGAATTTGTTCTGGCCTAAAGGGTCCTTTGGGGTTTGTGATGGCTGTTGACCATTGGCCAGGGTATGGAGACCCTTCTGGTCCTCTTGATCAAGGGTTTTCGAGACCGGTTGTACAACAACTTTGGGTTTCTCCGGCTGCTGGGTCTGTTTTGGTGTTTCTGGAATGTTTTCCTTGGCTACAACTGGTTTAACAGGTGTTGGAGCCTGATTTTTCACCCCTGGAGCTGGTACTGGGGGCTTGGCGGGTGTCTGTGGGGTGGAGGATTGAGAGGACACTGGCTGCATAGCCAGATAAATCTTCATTGGCCCCAGGACACCCTGTTTACCAGAGGTTGCCTGTGCTTTCATCAGTTGTTGCTTTATCTGCTGCTGGACCATTGCTGTCTGGGCAGGACTCAACTCGGTGCCCTGGAGCCCTTGGAGAACAATTCTGGGGCCTTGATTCGTCCGTATCAACTGGGCTGTCACACATTTTATTATTGTTCCTGGGGGCTGACCAGCTAGCAGAGAAGCTTCAACACTTCCTGCTGGTGGGGCTGCTGCAGCTGGAGTTGCTGTTGTTGTTGTTGTTGCTGCTGCCGGGGCTGGTGCAGCTGCTGGAGTTGGTGGTGTTGTTGGGGTTGCTGGTGTCGCTGGAGTTTCCTCTGCTACTGGAGGTGTTGCCACTGGTGCTGTCTGAGGGACAGCAGCTGGAGCACTTGGAGGTGCTGGTGTACTCGTGGGTGCTGGAGTACTTGGAGTCACTGGAGTATTGGGATTCGTCACAGCTGTCACCACTTTGGGGGCCATATTTTCAACCTGAATTATCGTGGAGTTCGGTGAATTCAGGTGGACTATCTGGTTTCCTGTTGGGGTGTTTCTTATCACCACGTGTTGGCCATTGATTGATACTATCTGGGCTTTGCCACTCGCCAATTGCTGCAACAAGTTTGGATTGTTGACGATCACTTGGCCTGACACCGGCACTTGGTTGGGGTTGGCCACCACGAGGGTGCTCTTGGGGGTTGTTATGACACCTCCAGTGTTGGAGACCACTGTCAATGGGGTTGCTTTCAGACGAGAGCCCTGAGGTGTTGATGCAGCAACTTTTACTGGGGTTGCTTTTATAGTTGGGGCTTTTATCACTGTTGTCACTGTCTTCGTTATCTGGGGATTGGAGTTGCTGGAGGCAGTGGTGGCGGGACTCTGGGTGGTGTTCAGGACGTGGAGTTTACCATCAGGCATCTGGACCAGTTGTTGACCTGGCATTAGACCTCGAACCTGGAGTTTACCGTCTGGCCCTCGAAGAATTTGCACTCGTTGGGGCTGCTGGGGGGTCTGGGGGCTGCCTTTTATCAGGGATTGGGGCGTGGGGGTCGAGGGTGTGCTTGGAGTCTTTGGGAGGATGCTTGTGGGGCCGGAGACCACTCGGGTAGTACCGTCTGCTGATTTTGTCATGTAGATTCGACGGGTGCCGATTATTGTTTTGCTCTGGGTGGGGGTTGTCAGGAGGGAGGTCAGCTGGGATTTCTGGGGGTTTGTGGGGGTCGCTGGAATCGCCACTTTGGAGACCAGCTTCACGGTACCATCTGCAATTTTAAGAGGTAATGTGAGTTTGAGGGTGGGGAATTATTGAGTGAACCGTTGGGGAATTTTGTTCGTCTTCTCTAACTTTGGCTGGAATCACAGGGGAATTTGTCAACTGTGGATGTGAACAAAAGTGTTTAGGATAATTGGGCGATGAGTAGGATATTTAAAAAATGCAGCCAATTTTAGGAAGATTTTTTCACACATTGTTGAATACATTATAGACGGTTTTTACAAAATTTGAGAAATCCCGGAAGCAGGGCAACAAAAATTATTTTTAACCCCTCACGTACGCGTGTTTTCAAAATTGATTAATTTTACATCTATGGAGAATAATTTGGTCAGACAGACAAACTTGGAAACCGGAATACTGTGGTTTCAATTAGATACCGGTTTCATAATTTTCCATTCATTAGAAATAATCGAATTCGAGTCGTATTGAGCACACACTACGCTTGGTAACAGAAGGGCCCCGTCCGTGAGGGGTCAAAGTTGCTGCTTATACATGAGGTTAAATGTACCATCGATAACATAAAAAATACTGAAATTATCAATGACTCATTTAACCTCATGTATAAGCAGCAGCATTGAAAATTATTTTTGTTGTGAAAATTATTTTTTGAATGTCCTACTCCTCGCCCGATTATCCTTAATTTTTTTTGAAGGGCGAGACTTTCAGGTTTATGTCAAATATACTCGAATATATTCAATAAAAATAATTTTAGAGAATTGATTTCGTGATGTGTTGTAAAGTTTTCTTGAACCCAAGGGAAATATACAAATTTGGAGAAGAATTGTGAGATTAGGATTCTAAGAATTTTTTTCTCTCTGGAAAAAGATCTTTAAGAAAAATTGTGTTATTCCTTTAAAGTTCATGATTTTTGTTGAAAAAAACATGCCAGAGTGATATTCACTTATTGTTGTCAATTTTAAGATGAGTTTATGTTGACTATCCGGAAATTCAAGGATATACCCAAATTAATTGGAAAATTTTATGATTAGAATTATAATAATAAATCAGTTCTGTGAATTTTCTCCAGAGAAAGGGCTACAAGAAAAATTTTGTATTCCTCTCAATTTTCATGATTTTTATCGTGAAGAATTCATTTCGTCAACTTCTAGATGAGTTTTTGCAAAATATCTGTGAATCTATGAAAGATTGCAAAATTTTTGTATCTGTCTTGGATTCAGAAATATTTAACAAAAATATCGATTCCAATTTTTGAAAATTTTTGAGTTTTTGAGTTTGAGATGAGTTTTTGTGATAGTATATTTCGTCATTAGGCCGAAAAAAAATTTCCGGCGTATATGAGTTTGCGTAGTGTCCGTGAAACGCTGCCTCAAGGCCGGAATGATGAAACATATTTTTTTTATCAAGGGAATTACCCACATTGGTATAAGAATTATGAGATTAGGATTCTAAAAAATGTAATAGTTTTCTTCAGAAAAACATCTTGGAGAAAAATTTTATTATTTCTCAAATTTCACGATTTTTATTTTAAAAAAATCATGACGTGAATTTCAGTTTTTAAATACTGATTCTAATTAAAAAATGAAAAATTTCTGCTGCTCTGAGTTTGACAAGTGAAAATTTTGAGACAAAATTTTTTATGGGAATTCTAATAATGAAGACGAATTCTAAGAATTTAAAGAAATTTCATCAAAAAGTCTTCAATAATAATTTTATTACTCCATTCAAATTTCGCGATTTTTGTAAAAAAAAATATATATAATCTCGAAGTGAAATTAAATCTTTTCCTCAACTTCAAGATAAATTTTTGCTAAATATCTCTGAATCTACGAACGATAGCAAAATATTGCAGCGGCCTTGGAATCAAAGATATCAGTAAAAATCTCGATTCTATTTCTAGACAAATTTGAAAAATCAGTGAAAATACAGGAATTTGTATAAAAAATCTTCATCTCCATATGATTTTTCTCTGGAAAACAAAAATATTTGAAGAAGAATTTCAGTATTCCCTGTCAAAGTCAAGATATTTCCAATAAAAACTTAGGAATAAACATATTTTTTAAAATTGTTTCAAATTTTAGTGTTTCTCTACAAATTCATCAAAAAATCATTTCAAATCAGAAATTGTTCACTTCGTGAATTCAGATAAGATTTTGTTATGAACATCTTTTCTACAACTCTAATATCCTTCACAAAAATCCAAGTGTGTAATTTTTCAAATAACTAACCTTGATTAGAATTAGTAGTGACTTTGACAATCTGGGTAGAAGCATTAGCGGGGCTCTTGAGAGTCTCCAGAACCCTCTTCTGCTGGTGGGCAGCCCTCTGTATCCTAAGCTGCTGCTCCATCTTCTCCTTGATCTCATCAGGTGTTGCTTTGCTGGTCAACGACTCACTGGCACTAGCCAGTGATCCCCTGTTGGCGAATGAACCAGTCTGTGGTCCACCCGATCTGCTCCTAGTAATAATCTGTGCATTAGCCTTCTCCAACCTACATCATGGTTCAAGAAAAACAGCGAAAAAGCAATGGGATTAGTTAATTTTGTTTTTCGTGGTGTTAATTGTGCAGGAGTGAAGGGACAAAACGAGAAGATTTCCATTATCTCATGGATTGAAAAATATTAATGAGAAGCGAAAACGTGAAGTTAAAGGTTTTAAAAATAAATTTATTCAACATTTGATGAATATTTTCAAATGACGGAGATGGAAACATTTTAATAAAGACTTTTTAAAGACTAAATCAAGGTTTATAAAAAAATGTCTTTATAAAAGAATTCCATCTCCTCAAGACCAAAAAATATTTACAAAGTTCTTTGACTTGAATTTATGATTTATTAGAATCCATCACAAATTCAAGTCTGATGATAAGTTTTTAATGAAAAAATTGTCATAAGCAATGTTCTTCCTTAAAAATCAAAATAAACTAAAGATTAAATTCGCCAAGCCCCGATTAAACCTTCACTTGAAATTTCGCAAAAGCCAGACACCCAGAAACCCCCAAAAGCAATAAAAACCCCTCACCTGTCCCCATACTGCTTGATCTCCCACAACTCCAGCTTGTCCTCATCCACCCACTCCTCGGAGACCTGAGGTTCAGTGCTCTGAGGGCTCTCCGGTCTCTTCCTCTTCCTCAGCCCACTCCTGATGCTGGTGACCTCCCTGATCTGCTTGGGTAACTCCAACGGAATCACCACCTTCCTCCTGAGATACTGCGTCCTATCCATAAACTGCCCCACATGTCGATGCTTGAGAATCTCCAGTGACATGATCTCCGTATCAGTAGTGATCTGATGTTTTCCATCTGACGAAGCAGGTTTAGCGACCATGTCATCCCACCTGAGACAGCCCCAGAGGACCCTGAGCTGCAGAGCAGCGGCTGCCAAGGACTTCAGCCCAACAGTTCTGTACAGCCAACAGGTCTTGAACAGTGGTCTTGGACAGGGATAAGGCCACACCGACATGTTGGCCTTGGCGATCTGATGAAAGCCCCCAACAGGAGCCTTTCCCCCCACCCTGGCGAGCTTCCTGAGCTCATGTTCAGGCAGCAGCAAGATGCTTCTCTTGTTGTTTTTGGTGCTGAATGTGGAGCACAAGGGATACTTGACAGGCACCCTCTTCTTCCTCCTATCAGCCAGGGATATCGCCACTTTCTTCAAATAGACTTTCCCCTCTGGATTGACAGTGGAGTAAACCCTCTCAGTCCCATCAGCAGTCAGCTCTTTAGCCACGGTGCACCGTTGAACAGTCCTTCCCCTCTTGTTAACAATGGTGGTCGTCGATCCCAGACTAGGCTTTACGTCTTCAGCCTTCCCAGGCTTGCTGTCCTCCTCAATCTTCTCGATGTCGAGCTGGCCAGGCTCCCCATCAGCCTCCACCTCCATCTTCACCCTTTTAGCCTTCGGTGATTCTGCAACATTGACGTTTGTAGCTGGCACCTCCTCGGAGCAATGAGTGGCCAGAGCCACAGCTGACTCCAGATCCCTCCTGATGGCGTCCTTGCTCTCCTCAGGTTTCTTAGGTGGTGGAGCCACTGGATTCTCCACGACAGTCTGATTGTTGTTCAAAGCATTGGCTTTCCTCAGAAGATTCACAAGGTCCCTTCTCAGTCTAGCTTTTTGCAGGCAAATGGGTGAGTAGCACGTGCTGATGAGGCTCTGAGGGGTGATGGGTGTCCTAGGTGACTGTCCAGTCATATTGCAGTAACGAGAGTAACAGTGATTGTTCTTGCCAAATCTCACCACAGCTGCGTACTGACTCCTCACCTGTTGGATTCTCTTGGTGACGACCATCAGCATCTCCCTGGCTGATGGGTGAAGAGATTTGTTGGGGGATTCACCTGACAAAATGCTGAGGATCGAATTGCCTGGTGATGCGTTGTCTTCGTGGTCATCCTCCTCCTCAGTCTCTTCCTTCTTGACTTGACTGGCGTCCTTGAGCTTCTCAGTTTGCGACAGCCTTCGTTCCTCAAGAATTTTAAGATGAGTTCTTCTCGCCAAGAAGTCGTCAATTCTCGTCTTCTTCGCTATCTTCGGGTAGTGGAGACGTCCAGGGGTGGTCAGTGCCTTCATGACATCGATCTCCTCGAACTTGTCGATGGGAGGGAAGACCTTCTCGATCTTCATGCCCGCTAGGAAGGACAGGCTCTTCTTGTCTGGTTTAGCTTCCTTAGATTCCTCCGAGGGCTTGTCATCCTCCTTCACTTCAGCCTCGACTTCTTCCTTGATGGAAGGCTTGACGTCCTCCTCCTTCACCTCTTTCTTTGGTCCTGAGTACTCTTGCACAAGGAAGTCGTAGGTCTGTGGGTCGATAGCCAGGATCTTGATGCCCCCTTGGTCCCTGATCTGAACCATGATCTTCTGGGGCCCCAGGGGCTTCAGTTTGATGTCCGATCTGTTCCTACGACTTGCTGAGATCCACAGCCATCCCCACTGGCCGTGGACCCTGTACTCCTCCCCCTTCTGCTTCCAGACTTGGTGCTTGAGGCCCAGAGAGTACTTGACAAAGTTGAAGGTCAGCCTGTTCCTCTCCTCCTCGTCCTCCTTCTCCTTCTTCTCCTTTTTATCCAGTCGTTTTTTCTCCTCACGCTCCACAGCAGTCACTCGCTGCAGCTTCACATGTCCCAGCTGATCGTGCCAGACATTAGCAAAGACACAGGACTTGATGCAAGCCTGAAGGACAATCAGAGCCCTTGCGAAGTCACGAGGATTGACACAAGCTCCAACAGCTGTTGTCCAGGGTTTCCTCAATAAAGGCCAGTTTGGGTGCATGAAGGGAGCCTGGATGTTGCTCTCCAACTGGAGTATCGTCTGCCTGATTGTACTGACAAGCAGTGCTCTAGCTCCAGTCAAACTCCCCACCCACTTGAACTCCGAGGCTTGAGTCAACGAGAACTTGTGAGACAAGTGACGCTTCTTGTCTCGCTCCTCATTCCTCTGGGACTTGTTCAAAGCTACAGTATTCGTGCTGTACTGATTCACGTAGGACTTGAAGTTATTGTCCATCCCAAGCTTGAAGAGATGAGTACCAGTGGCGATCTGATGGGCCTTCTGCCTCGTCAACCTGGTGTTGTCAGACCTCTCGTCCTTCAGGATCTTGTCGATTTTCTCGAGTTCATTAGCATTCTTCTTCTTCAAGTCGTCCATGCTGAAGGTTCTTGGGGTCAGTGATCCTGTTTTCGACCTAGTGATCATCGTCGATGCCTTCTTCCCCTTCTCCTCGTCATCATCATCACCAGCTTCAGACGGAGAATTCGACTTCTTTCCCTCTTGCTGCAACGACGACTCCCCCTGATCCTCAGACGTTATCTCCATCTTCTCCTCTTCCTTCTTCTCCCCCTCCTCAGGATTTTTCTCCTCATCCTCTTTTCTCTCCAACCTCTCCCTCTGGATCTTGAGAATCTGCGCATTCTCGACTTCTAGGTACGACTTCTTGTTCCCCTTGAACTGATTCGTGATGCTCTCTGTGAGCTCCATCTGCCTGATGATCTCGTCCTTGTAGTCCGACAATTCCCTGCACAAGGCGATTTCAAACTCGTCCTTATCAAGACTGTTCAACAGCTCTTCAAACTGCAGTGGAGAACTGTAATACCAGACCTCTCCATCCTCACTCTCGATAAAGAGTCTTCTCGCCAGAAACCAGTACTTCCTCCCATGCCTGTCGAAGCCCAGATGCTCCTGCCTGCAGAGAAGTCCATTCTTCTCGACATCAGGGACACAATCAACGACCCCAGACACCTTGTGCGCCTTGCAGATGCTGCACTGCCAGTCCTCAGTGGGCACGTCGACCAGGGGAGGCTCCACACACTCCAGATGAAAGACCGCAGGACATGTCTCACAGCAGAGAAGATCCCCCAGTCTGTGACAGACCCTGCAGTGGTCGTCGTAATGCATGTTCCCCTCGTGCAGGAGATCCTCCCTGACAGGATTAGTGATCAAGAACTGATCAGTGAGGAACTGAAGGACCTTCAGCCTGTTGTCAATCCCACAGAAGGGGTACTCAGTGGTGGTGAGGATGTGGAGAATGGATTGATCAAAGTTTTTATCGCTCTCCACGTAAGACCTCAGTGTTTCAGCCCAGGTCATGGGGTCGACGAAGTAGAGACTGACGTTGACAGAGTCCTTCTGGTCCAGGGGGCCGAAGTGCGTCTGCTGGGAGTCCTCCTCCCTCAGCAGAGCCTTCACCAGCATTATGTGGATCTCAGCAAGGAGATTGGTCTGGTCGTCGCAGGTGAGGGCAGCGCAGAAGTCCTCAAACCTGAATGAGGAGAGTCTCACGAGCGACCTGAAGTGCCTGAGAACCTCGTAAATGGAGAGAGCCTGCATGACGTGCTCCTTCGCGATGAGGAGGTCCTCCGAGGACTTGGGGATCTCGAGGGGAGGCAGCTCTCTGTTCTGCAGCCACAGGGGCTCAGGACTGGGAGCCCTTGCAGAGGACAGGAGACTCTTTCTGGGGGTTCCATTGCTGAAACTGGACAGGGAGAAGTCGCTGTCTGACGAGGGATCAGGCTCACCGACTGACTCAGAGCTCTCAGGATCAGACTGGAGGAGGGGATCGTCGTCAACCTCACTCTTCTCACTCGACTCATCACCAAAATCAGATCCATAGTGGTACTCAGAGTCCCTCAGGTCGACGTTTGCATTATACCCACGTCTCTGATAAGCACTGGAATGCCCTCCCTTTCGGGACTTACCACCTCTTGTTGCTGTTGACACTGATTTTCTCGTTGATCTCGTGCTTCTTCTGCTCTCCTCAGACTCCACTGGGGACGTTGGTCTCGATGCTGTTGGGGTGCTTGGCTGCGAGCTGGGGGTGTCAGCACCCTTCTGAAGGTACTTTGGCTTCTTCATCAGGTGGTACTGGAACTTCTTCGGGCGCTCCATCACCACTGACTTCGGGGGTCGCCCCCGCCTCTTGGGTCCTCTCCCCGTCATCCTGATCTAGGGTCTGTCAACCACAAAAAATCGTTATCAAGGACTTTTCCTCCAGGGACAATTGCTCTCCACTTTTTTTTTCAATTTTCCTCTTTATCTTCTGTCACTTGTTCTCACACGTGGTTTATGATAACAAACGTTTGTAAATAAACACCATTGGATTGACAATGAATCCATGTTTGCAATCAGACATCAACATTTTTTTTTTGCAAGGTCACGTGATGAGAAAAATCATGGTGCGCAGACTTGTGGAGGGGTTTTTTTGAAATTAACGAGGGTGAGACTCGATTTCGTCAGTTTTTAAGGCTTAATGGGGTCTAGTCCGGGTTTTTTCACGGGGAGGGGGTGGGGAGGCACCTCGTGGGGTCACAATCACTCTTCAACTGTTTGAGACTATTTGACGAGGGGTTTTTGGGGGCTCGGGGGTCTCGGGGTGATTTTCAATGACGAGTGTTGAAAATTATTCGGGGGGCTCGATCAGAGGGAACACAACAGTGACGCCAGGGGGGCACTATTGGGGGAGGGCGGTACGCTTTTTCGGTGAGGAATACGCGAACAGAGGGGACACGCCATTGGTCAATCCACGACTGCCGGATATTCCGCCATTTTGATTCGAGTGACGATGTACAGGGTTTTTTTTCGAGATTTTATTCGGCATTCGGGGGAAAATGTCGGGGTCAGACGGGATTTTTTCACTGGTTTTTTGGGGGTTTGGATTTTTTTCACGCGCGGAGGGGTTCAGGGGGGTCTTTAGGGGATATTCAGGGCCTCGGGTGCGTCCAATCGCGAGGGTCGTACCATCGACTGCGATGTGTCCAGGGGGCGACACTGGGGCTCAATTTTGAGAAGGGAAAAAATGAGAAAATAATTTTCTAACCTTTCAGTTTTGGAGATTTTTTAGCATTGATGATCACTCGGCACTTCCGGGGGCTTTCTCGATGGTGCACTCAGGGGGGAGGGTCACTACACGGCGGTCTAGGGGGCTTGACGACGTTCGATGCCCGCGAAACACACGGATAACCTTAGTTCTGGTCAAGCCTCGCGAGAGGACACCACTTTTTCGCGTTTACGGGTGAATTATTTTCTTTTTCGACGGGGGTTTCGAGGGGACGCGCATTTTTAGGGGTTTCTAGGGGGGGAACTTGGTACTGGCGGGTTGGGTGACTTTTTTTGGGGGCTTGACGCGGTTTTACGGGGGGGTTTTGCGAGAGAGATTTTTCACACTTGACGAGGAATACGCCATCTGCAGCGCGGAGGTACGGCAGGGGTGGTCAGCGGAAAATGAGAATGAAAAAAATTTTTTCGGGGGTTTTCGGGTTTTTCGAGGGGTTTTATTTTTTTTAGGGGATTTGAGAATTTTTCCGCGGTTGCCCGGGTTCTGGGGAGGGAATTCTAGGGGCGGGGGGACGCGAGTCGGGGGTATTGATTGGAGTTGTTTCCCGCCTAAATCAAATCGCGGAAAATTTCATTTTTTGAGAATGTGGATTAAATATGATTGATTTTATGTTCGTTTATTGTTTTTTTCTATGAGATTTCAGGAAAGGGAGTTTTCTTGAGAAATAGTTGCCTGACGAGTTAATACTTTTGACAATTGAGTGCTTTTTTGGTTTTTAATTATTTTTTTGCAAGTGTGAAAAAGATTTCATTTGAATGAATTTTAATTTGATTTTTTTTTTGTTGAATTTTAATTAGATGGAATCATTATTTATACGGTTTTGCGGGGGTTTTTACGAGAGATTTTTCACACTTGACAGCGAATACGCCATCTACAGCGCGAAGGTACGGCAGGGGTGGTCAGCGGAAAATGAGAATGAAAAAATTTTTTTCGGCGGTTTTCGGGTTTTTCGGGGGGTTTTATTTTTTTTAGAGGATTTGAGAATTTTTCAGCGGTTGCCCGGGTTCTGGGGAGGGAATTCTAGGGGTGGGGGAACGGAACTCAGGGGTATTGATTAGAGTTGTTTCCCGCCTAAATCAAATCGCGGAGAATTTGATTTTTTGAGAATGTGGATTAAATATGATTGATTTTATGTTCGTTTATTGTTTTTTTCTATGAGATTTTAGAAAAGGGAGTTTTCTTGAGAAATAGTTGCCTGACGAATTAATACTTTTGACAATTGAGTGCTTTTTTGGTTTTTAATTATTTTTTTGCAAGTGTGAAAAAGATTTCATTTGAATGAATTTTAAGTTGAATTTTTTTTGTTGAATTTTAATTAGATGGAATCATTATTTTTTTTATACGGTTTTGCGAGGGTTTTTGCGAGAGATTTTTGACACTTGACAGCGAATACGCCATGTATAGCGCGGAGGTATGGCAGGGGTGGTCAACGGAAAATGAGAATAAAAAAAAAAATTTCGGGGGTTTATTTTTTTTGGGGGATTTGAGAATTTTTCGCGGCTTGCGCGGGTTCTTGGGAGGGAATTCTAGGGGTGGGGGCGCAGTAGTCGAGGCTATTGATTAGAGTTCTTTCCCGCCTAAATCAAATATCGCGGAGGAGAATTTTATTTGTTGAGAATAAAGATTAAATGATGATTGATTTTATTTCAATTAATTTTTTTTGCGGGGGTTTTGGGGTTTTTCAGGAGCTTTTATTTTTTTTAAGGGATTTGGGAATTCTTGGGTGTTGGCGGGTTCTGGGGAGGGAATTCTAGGGGAGGCTCAGCGGGAGTCGAAGGTATTGATTAGAGTTGTTTCCCGCCTAAATCTAATCGCGGAGGATATGTTTTGCGAATGCGGATTCAATGATGATTGATTTTATCTTAGTTCATTTTTTTCTAGGGGATTTCAGGGGAGAGAAGTTTTTTGAGGAATGTTGCCTGACGATGTCATTATTCGTGTCAATTGAGTGTTGTTTGGTTTGTTCCAAAGTATTTTTTAAAAGTGTAAAAGAGATTTATTGTTTTTTGAATGATTAATTTGAATTTTAATTGATGGAATTTATATATTTTTGGTGACGATTCATTTTTTAAGTCTCGGGATTTTCATAAAAAATGAATATTTAATCAACAATTGACTAGAGTAGTCGGCGGCCATCTTGCCCATCAGAATCTCTCCCCCAAAGCGCATGATGAAATCCCCCTGGAGAAAACAATAATAACAACAATCGAAAACAACAACAATCACGGCATTTTTCTAAAAATTGATTGAAAACCAATTTTTTCCCTGAATTTTCATAATTTTTCCTTCAATTCCACCGAATTTTCATACCAAATGAAAATTTAAATCTACACTTGACTAGAGTAGTAAACGGCCATTTTGCCCATCAGATCAATTCATTCAAAATTCCAAAAATATCTGGAATATTTTCATTTTTCTTTTCAAAATCGAAAAAAAAATTAATTAAAAAAAAATAAACAATTTTCAATTTTCTCTCTTTAAATTCAATCTCTCCCCCAAAATGCATGATGAAATCCCCCTGGAGGGGATAATAACAACAATGAAAAAACCTCAAATAAAGATGGCGTCGGTGAAAACTTGACAATTCCGTGAAAATCGAAGAACCGGACGAAAAAATCAGTGAAAAAAAAACCGAAAACCTTGCAAAAAGCCCGGACAACCCCCCCAAAAATCGAATTACGAAAAAAAAATCGTCGTGATGACGACAATGTACAGTTTACGTCCGATAATTCGTCACGAGGATGTGCTAGACCGGTCAAGTGAATGCATGTACGAAATGAAAAATATTCATCGCAATGGCCACACGAGGCAGGACTGCAGGATCGTGTCGAATGTCACTGAGCAGGTTATCAACTTTCTAAAGGTTTTTCCACCGTTTTATTCTGATTCCCTCGTAACAATCACAGCTGCACAGACCCCAGGTCCCCAGGATTTAATATAAAAGTGCTAACTCACGTGAGTGAGGGCCATGGTTTCTGTAGTTGAAAAAACGTCTCTTGACGATGAACTTATCCCGAAATTTCAAGGGGCACTAATCACTCGATCCAAGAGAATATGGTTCTGGGTGTTGGGCTTGATCGATGCGTGTGGAGGTGCCTCTCTCTCTCTTCCCCTCAGAAAATTTTCCTCATCCTGATGAGCACGAAAATTCGGTTGTTGTTGTTTTTTGAGAGGAGGAATGAGACGGTAAATTAGAATGATGAACTGTGGGGGACAGGTCGTCGTGTCTCTTTGGAATTGAAAATGGGGTTAAAGTAATGTGGAGTTACTATGGTGAGAATTTTTAATTGAAATTGTTGATAAAGGTTCAGCGAAAATCGAAGAATCTATAGGTTCTTGAGTTTTTGTTGAGTTTTTATGATTAATCCTCCAGGAAAACAGATGTTTCTGTTAATTATTTGATTTTCCAGGGGAATCTCGATAATTTGCATGAAAAAATGAGAAGTGGAAAATTTTAATTGTTCGTGGATTAATGTTCAAATCTGTTTACAAAATTAGAGACACTAAAAATCTGTGGTGGTGCCCCTCTCTCTTCCTCACTGAAAATTTTCCTCATCCTGATGAGCAAAAGAATTTCGTTGTTGTTGTTTTTTGAGGGGAGGAATAATAAGAATTTGAATTGAAATGATAATCAGTGGAGGTCAGGTCGTCGTGTCTCTTTGGAATTGAAAATGGGGTTAAAGTAATGTGGAGTTACTATGGTGAGAATTTTTAATTGAAATTGTTGATAAAGGTTCAGCGAAAATCAAAGAATCTATAGGTTCTTGAGTTTTTGTTGAGTTTTTATGATTAATCCTCCAGGAAAACAGATGTTTCTGTTAATTATGTGATTTTCCAGGGGAATCTCGATAATTTGCATGAAAAAATGAGAAGTGGAAAATTTTAATTGTTCGTGGATTAATGTTCAAATCTGTTTACAAAATTAGAGACACTAAAAATCTGCGGTGATGCCCCTCTCTCTTCCTCACTGAAAATTTTCCTTATCCTGATGAGCACAAAAATTTTGTTGTTGTTGTTTTTTGAGGGGAGGAATAATAAGAATTTGAATTGAAATGATAATCAGTGGAGGTCAGGTCGTCGTGTCTCTTTGGAATTGAAAATGGGGTTAAAGTAATGTGGAGTTACTATGGTGAGAATTTTTAATTGAAATTGTTGATAAAGGTTCAGCGAAAATCAAAGAATCTATAGGTTCTTGAGTTTTTGTTGAGTTTTCATGATTAATCCTCCAGGAAAACAGATGTTTCTGTTAATTATGTGATTTTCCAGGGGAATCTCGATAATTTGCATGAAAAAATGAGAAGTGGAAAATTTTAATTGTTCGTGGATTAATGTTCAAATCTGTTTACAAAATTAGAGACACTAAAAATCTGTGGTGGTGCCCCTCTCTCTTCCTCACTGAAAATTTTCCTTATCCTGATGAGCACAAAAATTTCGTTGTTGTTGTTTTTTGAGGGGAGGAATAATAAGAATTTGAATTGAAATGATAATCAGTGGAGGTCACGTCGTCGTGTCTCTTTGGAATTGAAAATGGGGTTAAAGTAATGTGGAGTTACTACGGTGAGAATTTTCAACGGAAATTGTTGATAAAGGTTCAGCGAAAATCAAAGAATCTATGGATTTTTTGTTTCTTGTTGGGTTTCCATGATTAATCCTCCAGGAAAACCGATGTTTCTTTTAATTATGTGATTTTCCAGGGAAAATTTGGTAATTTGAACGGAAAACTGAGAAGTGGGAAATTTCAATTGGAGACGAGTTTCATATTTAATTAAAAATTTGATATTCAGTTTGGATGATTGAATTTGAATAAATATAATTATTTTTCAGGGTCCACTGCCAGAAGTCAAAGTTCTAGAAATCAGACAGGAGAAAATTCTGACACAATTGGCTGAGTTGAAGGAGCAGGTGCTGAACCTTTGTGATGTTTTGAAGGGAAATTCAGTGGATTCCAAAAAGGCTGAGAGCTGTGGACTGAAGAGGGTCAAAAGGGTGAGAGAATTTCGTTCTGATTGGGCACATATACCTCACGATTGACAATTAATGGTTCATTAATTATTTATTTATTCACTTATTTATCTAGGAACCTGTGAACGTAGATCTGGTGCTGAATGTCAACCCTGAGAGTCCTTCGTATTCAGTTCTGGCTTTGAGAAAAGTCTGGAGTGATGTAGACTTCAGAATAGAGCCTTTCCAGCATTCTAGTGTCAAGGGAAGTATTCCTCAAGGGTTTGAGAGGAGTAGAGGATGCGAAGAGAGTGTTGTCAATATCTCGTTTATATGGAAAAAAGGTAATTTGCTAAAAGCGAATGAAATTGTGATTGTCACGTTTTTCTTTAATTTTTAAAAATTCATTTTTCAGTTGTACATAAAAAGCTCGATGAGTAGCTTTTGATAAAAAAGGGATTTGTTGAGATATTTTCATAGAATTTTTCTTGTACCAGAAAATTTCTTTGACATTGACAATTACCAAAATCAAAATGTCACTTATTACGCTTTTTTCATTTTTACGTCACGTTAAGTAGCGAATTATTTCGTTAATGAGTGGTTTTAGGAGAAAACGTCAGTAAAGATTTTTTGTCGAGAATTCCCCAATCTACAAAAAAGGTATTTTGATATTTTGTCCTGGGACCAATCGTTATCGAGATAAATTAACAATTAGAAAAAAGTAAAATTTCATGAATTAGAGAAAATTACGGAAAACATGCGTCTTTTAACGTTCAAGAACTCGAGATTGGCAGAGTGAAAATCAACAATTTTTTTTCATTTTCAAGATCTTTTCCCATGCTTCAAAATGAACCCAAATTAATCCAAATTGCATCACTTGGTGAAAAGATATTTCATATTAAAAACGATAATTTCATCTCCCGCTCATTTTTCATACTTAAAATAATTGATAATTTTTTTTCCAGTGAACAATACAGAACTAGTACTCTCTGGACTCCACGGATACTGCATCCTAGGTGAAGTGAATTTCCTCAGATACCTGGCAAGACTCCTAGACAATTACGATTCCCTTCCTCCTGACGAAACTACGAAAATAGATCGAATTTTGGATTTATCCCATCAGCTAGTCTGCAACGAGAATCTCAAGGAGAAACTAGCAATTATCGTCCTCCTAGAGAAGAAAATTGGCGATGACAAGTGGTTCTCAGGCCACAAAACTCCTGGAATCACAGATGTAGCTGTCTGGTCAGCACTGAAACAAATATCCCCCAAGTCTCTCCCCTCAAGTCTCTCTAGTTGGTTCCACAAGTGTGAAAAGACTTTCAAAAACTGATCAAATAGTTCATTTTATAATTAACGAATAAACCTTGATACAAATTTAATAAATCGTTTTTATTAAAGGTAATAACATGTACGAAAAGAGAAAACATTTCTTAAATTCACTTATTGATTGATAAGTAGTTTCTTCTAATTTTACGTATAAATAGAAAAAAAATTAAACTAAAAAATTGTTTCGTGGTGGGCAGTGAGAGACCCCTGATATTAGCACTCAGGGTTATTAATAGGAATTTGTAGATTCAGCCTTTTTCCTACCCTCCCGAGGATATTGGTCCTAAAATTCTTGTTTATCAACTACTTTTGGGGAAGATGTTTGTCATGCGTTGATGTGATGAAATCATAGAACAGTTTTTGATGGAAATTTCGGTATCTCATTAGATCTTGACATATTTTTCAAAAAATAGTAAAATTTTTCTATGTCAACTCAGCATCAAAATTAATTTTTGATACATATCTAAAAAATATGGACCTTTTTGGAGAGCGAAAAATATCTCTGAAAAAAGTCTGAAAATAATTCAGAAAATTTATGTCATTCTTTAAAACAAATGACTGAGAAAAATAAAAAGGAGATATAACTTCGAAATGAAGTTGAATTTCTTGCAAATAGCAAAATTTCCATTCAAACTTTTCTTTTTTGTAAAACAACAAGAAATTCATAGAAAAAGTCTGAACGAAAATTCCGATATTTTTATTCGATTCCTACATATTTACAAATTCAAATTTAATACAAATTTCTCTATCTCCTCTAGATTTTGAGATATTCTCAAAAAATTCCATCACGAAATTTTCACTCAATTCTTTCTCTTTTTCTAAAACAAAAAGAAATTTATTGAAAGAGTCTATTCATCCATTGAAAGAGTCCGAACGAAGACTCGAAAATTTCGCTGTTTCTATTTGACTCTGATATATCTATCAGAGACTGTTAACTTTATTCATTTGTCAATTTATTATCAAAATAATTGTGTGATAAATATCTCTAGAGGTCAAAGAGAGAGTGAAATATTTGTTCAGATCTTTTTTGTCGAGAGAAAAGAAATCAACGAAAAAGATCTGAATACAAAATTCCCCATCTCCTTTAAGTTTGGAAATATTTCAAAAAAATTCCGTGACGAAATTTCAACTCAATTTTTTCATTTTTTCCGAAGCAAAAAAAAATCCATTGGACGAGTCTGAACCAAAATTTCGCTGTTTCTATTTGATTCTGACCTATCCACCAGAAACTGTTAACTTCACCAATTTGTCAATTTATTATCGAAATAATTTTTCAGACATCTCTCGTAGAGCGAAAGAATCTACGAAAAACGTATGAATAAAAATCCCTATTCCTAAAAAACGACTCCACTTTAAATCGAAATTTTTCAATGCATGACAGACAATGTCCCAACAATTAAATAACCCCTTCGTCTCCAAGGAAAACCAATTGAAAAATAAAAAATAAATCTTCAGTCAAGTGTGTTGACAATATTTACAGACACTCGATTCCTAACTCTTCCTAATATTCTTTACAAAAAAGATTCTTACGTACTTAATCCAACGATATGATTGTTTTCGATATTACAGAATGTACGCATGAGTAAAAGCTACATTTACAAAGGATGGCGCAGGGAAAATCTCATTTTCATCATGAAAAAAAAAAAGAAATAATAATAAGGAAGTGGCACAGGCGATAAATATGATAATTTCATCAGAATCTCACGAGTGGATATGAATGATATCGAGTAATGGATATTTGAAAGCTCCAGGATACTCCAAAATACGTTCTATCTAGGGGAGAGCGGGGCAAAATGGAGCAACCGGAAAAACGAGTACTTAAGACAATTGGGAAAATAATTTTTTTAGGTGAGGGTGAAGCGACCCTCGAGATAATTTGACTTTCAGCTATAAATTTCCTTAAGGGTCGTTTGACCCCAATGACTATTTGACCCTTCAACTAAAGTAGAGAAAAGTTCGTTGTTTTAATTGAGTCATTTGACGCTTGACCCCACCCTTCTTCAACATTCCCTTGACCCTCACGAGCATTTGACTTCGACTAAAAACAACGAAAAAGAAGTTTTCTGACCTTTTCGTTGTTTGTAGTGGAGGGTCAAATGGCCTTGAGGGTCAAATAGCCCTTGAGAACGTTCAGAGTTGAGACTAGAAGGGTCTTAAGGGTCAAGCAATCCTTAAGAATGCTTCAGGTTAAGGCTCACATTTTCGTAAGGGCTTTACGGGTCATTTGGCCCTTAACGCTATAGTCTTCAAGGGCCGTTTGACTCTCAAATTCAAACGTCCACAAGGCTGGTCTCACCATCACGACTGAAAATAACGAAAAAGAAGTTTTTTGACCTTTTCGTTATTTCTAGTGGAGCGTCAAATGGTCTTGAGGGTCAAACAACCCTTAAGAATGACCCTTAACTCTATGGTCTTCAAGGGCCGTTTAACCATCATGACTAAAAACACTGAAAAGGACGTTTTCTGACCTTTTTATTGTTTGTAGTGGAGGGTCAAATAGCCCCCTAAGAACGTTCAGAATTGAGAGTAAAATAGTCTTGAGGGTCAAACAATCCTTAAGAATGTTCCAGGTAAAGGCTCAAATTGCCTTAATAGTAATTTGACCCTTAACCCTATACATCTTCAAGGGTCGTTTGACCTTTACAAACATTTGACCCTTAAATTTGAATATCATTGAGGATCATCTGACCCTCAAAACCATTTGTCCTTCAAGTAACAGCAACAAAAAAGGTGTTCTGTCTTTGATGGTTAGATGACCCTTAAGGACGTGTGGAATTGAAGATCAAATGGTCCTAAGGTTCTCCACAAACTCTCAACATCGTTTGACCCTTTCAACCGACTGACATCAACCTTCAACGGAAACAACGAAAAAAAAAGTTTACTGACCTTCTCTTGGTCGCCAATTGAAGGACAAAAGAGCCTTAAGGCCTTTCAGAGTCAAGACTGAAATGGTCTAGGGTCTTTTGACCCTCAAGATGATTTGACTCTAGGGCCGTTTAGCCCTTTACGCCCTCACTTAAAAACTACACCAAGGTTTCCTGAATTGTCCTAAATAGTCCTATTTCTTCCTTCATTTTCCCCTCTAGTATTTCCTAAATAATCTTCTCCTCTTCGTAAGCTACGGAGATCTCGACGAGTGAATCGACTATAAATTAATAAATTGTATAATGTTAAGGTTGTATATCACAATAATAACGCTTGTGGCAGATCCCCGAGATCATCATACGAATGATGAGAATCCGGGTAATGGGGCCCTCGATCTCGCCATGTTGTTCATGATTATTTGTCCACCGTTGAGACTCACAACTGCACTTCCCTCTGGCTCGGAGTCCGTGTACGATGAGTAGTTTCGCACTGGCTTCTGGCGCTTCCAGGATTGGCGGAGGGAGTCGTTGACGTTGGCATAGTGATTCACGAAGGAGTGAGGGTCCGATTGCACGCTCTCGTTCTCACTCTCCGAGCCCTGAAATTCAGAGGTGGTGGAACGGTTATCATGGTTTACTGCAGATAATGATTGTTGTTTCAAATAATTGGAAGAACTAGCGCCTGATGCCCTTTCATTATGCCTTTTTTCCTATCAGATTCGATATTCCTTTTTGCTTCCGAATGGAAGCATTGCAATCCTTCGATTTTCACATTCTCTAATTTTAATTTGAAATTATGTAGAATTGTCTGAAACGTAAAAATACGAAGTTTGGCGACTGTCTGTATGTGACGACGTCCACCGTCACCTTCCCGGTGGTCAAGTTTTAGAAAATTGAGTAATTGAGTGGCTAAAATAATTCAAAAAAATCTGAAATTTTGGTCTTAATGGGGAATAACACTGTGCAAAATTTCAGCTCGATCGATCCAATAGTTTTGGAGAAAAAGCCATTCGTTTTTAAATCATTTAAAATCATTTTTGGGCTCACTCAGCTGCCACTAAATATATTACAAGTTATCATTACATTATAGTAAAGTATATATAAATTGCAATAGCTTTTTAGTGTTAATTATCCTTTAATTAGTTGATGTCTTAGTTAAACGTATTTTATATCTGAAGTTTAAGTCGATTTAGACTATTCGTGAGTTTTCAATGAATATCTCGCAATCTAAGGCAGATAGCAAAATTTCTCTTATGACCTTTTCGGTAGAGCGCATTGAAATCTTCAAAAAAGAAGAATACGAAAATTTCGCTATCTCCCTTAGATTGGGAAATATTCCTCGAAAACTCAGCTAAGAGCTAAGTCGACTTAAACCGTTTGACCACTTCGCTACTGAATTACCATGGGATGAATTTGGGGATGAATTCTCCTGGGATGAATTAACCGTATACCGCATTAAACCTACCTGAGAGTCAGTAGAACTGATTTCCGACGGTTTCTCCGTAACACTGGAGTCATCAGGATTCTCGTCATACCCCTTCAAGCTCTCCTCATCACTGTGATAAGCAACGGATGCAGGTGACGGCCTCGGCGGTGACTTCCCATGCATGGGCGGTGGTGGTGGATGCATGGACTTCCTCCCAAGTGTGCTCCTCTTCCCCAGAGTTCCGCAACCCCCTCCGATATTTAGAGGCCCGCCAGAAGGCCGGGTCCGGTACAGAGACAGATCTGAAGCCTGTCTGTCATCAATGTCCATGGCCATCGACTCCTCGAGTGTCTTCTGCGCCTCCTGCTTGTACTTGTCACTCTTGCTCTTCACGCAGAGCACCGCAACCACCATGATGATGATGACAATTGACGTGGCTGCCAGGGTCACCATGAACCACGTCTGCCTGTAGAAGGGCTTGTGCTGGAGGTAGGCGTATTCAAAGTAGAGTTTTGATGGTGTCACCACTGTCTCGGAGGAGTAGGCGGGATAGCTTATCCCATAACGGTTGTAAGAGATCACCCTGAAGAGGTACGACGTCGATGGGAGGAGATTCTGATAGGATACGGAGTAGTCGTTCAGAGGACCATTGCTCGTTTTTACTATTGTTTGCCACCTGGTGTCGTCTAGAGTAGAAAAATGAATTTATGAATTTTGGGAATTTTAGTAGAAGACAGTGTCAGGGGTATGGAGGTGGGGATGACTACATTGTTTATAAGGGACATTGGGGCAAAATGAAACGAGGAGAAAGAGACTACTTGGCAAAATTCAGGAAACTTTTTTTTAGGTGAGGGTTGAGTGGTCAAAGGATACTTGAAAATGTTTAGAGTTGCAGGTCAAATGGTCTTAGGGGTCAAATGACCCTTTCTGATTATCTTGACCCTTGACCCTGAACGTTTTTGGAGATTGTTTAACCCTCAAGACCATTTGACCCTTGACTACAAACGTTCGGAAAGGTTATTTGACCCTCAAATCATTTGACCCTTGACTCCAGACGTCCTTAAGGGTCATTTGACCCTTAATTCCATACGTCTTTGTGATTACCTTGACCCTTACAACGATTTGACCCTCAATTTCAAACGTCCTTAAAGGACTTAAACCCTCAAAATTATTTGACCCTCAACTCCAAGCAAATTTGAAGGTTTGTTAACCCTTGAGGCCATTTGACTCTCAACTCCAAACCTCCTTAAGCGTTAGTTAAGTTAGTTACTACTCTCAATTCCAAACGGCCTTGCAGATTGTTTAAACCTGATATCCAAATGTCCTTGAGGGTCATTTAACCCTTAATATCATTTAAGCTTCAACTGTAAATGTACTTAGGGGTCATTTGACCCTCAAACCCACTCGTCTTTGTCATTCCCTTGACCCTTACGACCATTTGACTCTCCATTCCAAATGTCCTTAAGAGTCTTTTAACCCTCAAAATTATTTGACCCTCAACTCTAAACAAACTTGAGAATTTGTTAATCCTTAAGCCCATTTAACTCTCAACTCCAATGTCCTGAAGGGTAATAGAATGTCCCTAATTTTTCACATTTTAGAACGAATTTCCGTCCGAGTCATTAATATTTTTACAAATGGAAGCACATTAATCTCCTGAAGGCAACGATGAAAAACAATGTGCGTTTATTATTATATAATATTAATAATTGTGAGCAAGAAATTTGTTTGAAAATTCGAGGAAACGATGGTCCTCTGTTACCCCTTGAAGGTTAGTTGACCCTCAAAATCATTTGACTCTCAATTGCAATCCTCAAGGCAATTCGACCCTTAATTGCCAACGTCGTAAGGGTCAGTTTAGCCTTACGAGCATTAGACTCTCAATTGCAAACGTCCTCAAGGTTCATTTGACCCTCAAGATCATTCGGCCTTCAGCTTCAAACGTCGTTCAGGCTTTTTTGACCCTCAAGACCATTTGACCTTCAACTAACAACAAAAGAAGTCCCCTGAATTGTGCTAAATAGTCGTTTCTTGTTCATTTTCCCCCGGCTCTGCCCCATCTACTGGATTTAATGAGAAAACTCCAAACGTTGGGTGGACTAATGCAATGGTCGAGGGGTGAAACGTTATGGTGAATCAAAAAATTCTTGACTTGTAGCTTAAGTAAATATGCAATCGTCTCGATGATGGAGGGTTTCTCCATCTAAATCCAATATCACCAAAGGAATCAAACTCCCTCCATTTCGTGTCACCCCCCAAAACAAAATGGCCTGTCATGCGCCATAAACATACACCACAAACCCAACTCATCAAAAATACGGAATTCAACTTAAAGGGGGCATCATATCACTTACACTTCCGCCAATCTTCCATGGCTGTGCCACGAATAAAAAATACACATGAAAAACATAATCAAGATGACATGAAAACAATTAACCACCAGGTCACCCAGAAGCCAAAGAATAACCGCTAAAGACATCCGTCATAATTACCTTTCCGTCTCGTCTCGATGTAGTACCCGAGGATGGGTCCCTTCCCGGAGGCTCCATTGACCCATTGCAGATCGACACTAGACACCGGAGTCTTGGTAACACTCAGCTTGGTCGGTGCCATGGGTGATCCCTCCTGGGGTCCGGTTGTCACATTCCCAGAGATCGGTGGTCCAAAATCAATGGTCAAGGCTCGAACCATGAATGTGTACGTCACCTCCTCCTCCAGGGGCTGGACAAGCAGACTGGTCTCAGTCACCTTCTGCTTGACCTGCTTACTGAACTTGTCATTCTGCTCAGCAGTCTCATACGTCACGATGTACCCCACAATCTCCCCATTCCTCATCTTCGGACGGTCCCAGGAGACCCTCATACTCGTCATCGTGATCTCCGAGAACTGCAGATTGGTCGGTGCCCCAGGCAAGTCCTGCTTGGTCCTCACAGTTATTGGTGGTGATCGAGGGCCATCACCAGCAGGGTTGAACGCCAGCACCTGAATCCTGTACTGAGTGTACTTGTCCAGGAACACGAGGTTATGCGTGAGGTAGGAAGCAGGGACGACCTCGATCTCCTCCTCCTGTTTCTTCTCTAACGGCTGAGGGGAATCCGTCACAAGATAGAAAATCTTGTACCCCAGGAGGTCACCATTCTGCATGCTGGCTAGTGGTGGCTTCCACTGGAGCGTCACCTCAGTCCCCGAGATGGGTTCGGCTTTGACACCCTGGGGTTCACCCGTGGGAACTGCCTCCCCGACATAGACGGTGACTGGAGGACTGGCTGGGCCGTCGCCCTCAGAGTTGAAAGGAAGAACAACGATCTCGTAATTGCGGTCCTCCATCAGATCGCTGAGGATCATCTTTGTCTGCTTGATCCCCAGGATCTCCTGCTTCGGAGTAGCTTCGAGAGCTGTCGGAAAGTCAGACACCGGTTGGTAGACAACACGGTACCCTCCGGTCTCGTGGTCTCCACTCCAGTGGACCTCCTCAATCATGTCCCAGTGGACTTCAATGCTAGTAGTTGTGATCGGAACGACTCTGAGACCAGATACACCTCTGGCAGGTGCAGCCGGAAGGGTCTGGACCTGAACCGACTCAGCACTCCACGCGGAGGGTCCAATATCATTAGTCGCCTGTATCCTAAACTGATAATACGTGAAGGGTTTCAAGTCATTAGCGGTGTAAGATGTCAGCGTGGGGTCCACCCTCTCGGGTATGGTCAGGAAAGGCCCGGAGTTCTCACTCTTCTGGACTGTGTAATAACGAAGTGGTGCAAAGCCGTCAGGTCCAGGAGTCCACGAGAACGTGATCTGCCTGCTCTGCACCTGCGATCGGCTGACCTGCGGCATCGAGGGTGGCTGTGGTCTCTCCCTATTATTCGTCGTCAGTACCAGTCCGGAGGCTGTTTTACCCCAGCCTAACCTGGTCTGTGCGGCCACCGAAAACATGTAATACTTTTCCGCCTCGAGGCCATTCGCCTGGAAGGTTCTATCGGAAGCCTGGAACTCCTTCGAGAACTGTCTTTCTTGACTACTATTCAGATGGAAGAGGACTTTGTAAGCTAGGATCTCGCCGTTCGGATCCTCCGGGGTATCCCAGATGATCCTAGCTGTGCTGAAGCTAACATCCGGAAAGGAGACGTTCGACGGTGGCCCCGGGACGTCCTCGAACGTCTGCACCCTGACCGGAGGAATGCTGAGGGCCCCGTCTCCAAGTCTGGTGTATGCCAGCACCTGAATGTGATACTGAACGAACTTCCTCAGTTCCGTCAGAGTTGTCGTGAAGGTCGTGTTCTTCGGAATGTTCTTGTACTGAAAGGATGATCCACTGGCTCCGTAGTACACCTTGTACCCCTCGATCTGCCCATTCTGATGGACAACCGGCACCTCCCCCCACTTGACAAGAATAGTGGTAGAAGACGTGGCATTAGCTTCGATGTTGGAAGGCCCAACAGAGGGGACCGCCTCTCTCGTTCTCTCGACGGCCTTGGGGCTCGATGATGACGAGCCCACGTCGTTGTACGCCTGCATGACGATCTCGTAAAGAGCGAACTCTTCCATCCCTTCGAGGACGTAAGAGTTTGCTGTGTGATCTTCAATAGCAATGCTCTTCGACTTGTTCGTCCTGACTTCGGTGTAAGTGACATTGTACCCCCGGGGGTTCCCGTACCACTCGATCTGCTGGAGGGGGATCCAACGAACCCTGAGTTCAGTCGCACTCATCGCGCGGACGGTTACGTTCCTGGGGGGATGGGACGGGGGAGCTTGAATTGTCTGGAATTCCTTGGTTGGTTCTGATGGTTTCGAAGCACCCACGACGTTATTAGCGATCAGTCTTAGTTTGTACTGCATAAAGGGGATCAACCCTCCGACGGTTATTGTCGACGCGTCAGGATCGGACACCTCGAAGATATTGTACCAGGTGGTGTTCCGTCGGGTCTGCGCCTGCACCGTCCAAGCGATGATCGAGGAATTCCCATCGAACCCCGGGGTGAACTGTAAGACAACTGAGAAGGCATCGATGTTGGAGAGAGCTAGTTTCAGGGGCGGCTCCGGCAGCACCGGCTCCACCCCGGACTGTATCGTTGCGACTCTCGGTTTACTCGGCCCCTTCGACGTCCAAGCTATCACTTCGAAGCGATAGTGCGTCGTTGGCTGCAGATGTTCCACTTTACTTGATAACGTATCAGAACTGAAATTGAGAACTCGAAGGGAGTCGGCGTTATCTTTTATCTGATACTTCAGCTGATAGCTGGTGAGTATGCCATTGATCTCGGCTGGTGGGCTCCACCTAACAGTCAGAGCTCGATCGCTAATGTCATCGAATTGAAGGTTTTCGACTTCCCCGGGGACGTCTTCACTGGTCCTAATCTCGATCGGACTGGAGCGTTCACCGTCTCCAGGATCCGTGAAGCATAGAACAGTGATATTGTAGACGGTGTACTTCTTAAGACCACTGATGACTGCACTCTGTTCAGCGAGAGGATCGAAAAGACTCGGAGGGACCTTCAGGGACCTGTATTCATTGCTTTCCGTGAAGTTGCCCCCGGTCCAGGCTTGGATCTTGTAGCCCTGGTTGATGCCGTTGATCTTCTGAGGGTTCGGCGGCTTCCACCAGACCCCTATTGACGTGGAATTAACAGCCTCAACTCGGACGTTAGTCGGCGGTGCCTCGGGTACACCTTCCTTCGTTTTGATAATCAAACCGTCCGTGAAGACGCCCACCCCCTTATCATTGTACGCGGCAATCTGAACTATGTAATCTTTCCAAGTGATGAGATCTGAGATAAGATAGTTCTTCTGCGCCTCATTAGTGATGTTATGAATTATCCAAGGGCTCTGGTTGTAATACCCATGTAAACGGTACCTCAGGATGTACCCGAGGATGTGACCATTCCGGTGTTCCTCGAGGGGCGGCTGCCACTGAGTTATGATTTCCGAATCAGATCGCGCAGAGCCGACGAGACCGACAGGTGGCCCGGAGGGTGGTTCTTGCGGGAGGGTAACGATATTACTCGGTTCCGACGGAGGACCCTCACCAACAAGATTGACAGCCGTCACTCGGAACTGATAAGCAGCTGCTGCTTTCAGATCCTTCAGCAAACACCACCTGACCTGCGCTGATACGTTATCGTCTTCCACCACCCAATTCGATAGGGTGTCTGCTATGGGTCCCATTTCTGGGACCACTCGCCTCTCCACCACGAATTTTTTCGTAGGGCTGTTGCCGTCGAACCCTGGGACCCACGAGATGTTTATCGCGCGTGGGGATATCTTCTCGATCCTCTCCGCGACTACGTTTATAGGGGCAAAGGGAAGTTCTATGACGCTTAGACGAGCGCTTCGGGTCTCGTTGCCACCCGGGGAAATGACGGAACACGTGTATTCGCCCACATCAGACGCCCGGACGGCTATGATCTCGAGGGCGCCGTCCTCTCGCATTTTTACTCTGGGGCTCGCACGAGTGTTCATCAACTGGGAGTTGTGAAACCAGTCGATGTCGTAGGGGACGCTTGGGTCGTTTGACACTTTACATTGGAGTTCGGCGGTGTGACCGAGGAGGACTGAGGTGTCACTGGGAGGGCGGATTATCTGGGTTCTAACATGGACGGATAAATACGCGGAACCGTTTACAGAGCCGGCGTCGTTTGAGCGGATGCATGTGTACTTGCCGGCGTCGTTCGGTTTCACTGCGGAGATTGAGAGATCACCGGTCTCCAGGAGCTGAACCCTACCTGCTATTTCAACGGGCATTGTTTCGTTCAGGACCCAGGTGGTGTTTGGAATTGGGGCACCCACTGCGCGGCAGACTATCGTCGCGTCCTTGCCGTCTAGGACCGTCAGGTTGCGGGGGCTGGTCTCCAGGATTGGAGTTGAAGCTGAAAGTTAAGGGGTGGTTAGGGGCTTGGAGTGAAGGGGGACAGTGTCTCATGCGTCATGGCTTTCTAAGAGTGGTCTAGGGTCTTGAAACTCGGAAGATGCAGCTAAAGTCACGCCGGGGTACAATCTGCTAGAGCAACGGCGGAATGAGATGAGGAAATTTTGGTCGAGCTTCTTTTCTGAGAGACTCTTTCTAACTTTTGGAATTTCAAAAGATGTATTGCGCTCTGAATATGACCTTTGTATGTTCTCATTTTCATTGACTGAAATCGTTCCAAATACGATTCAGTTTATTTCTAGATATGTAACAAATGGGCGACGCTTAATACCAGTACAGCGGCACTTCTTACACGGAGAGAAATTTTTGATTAAAATTATCCTACCGTTCTATAAAAGTATCATGAGTCATCATTTCCTCATTTCTATCCCGAAATTGAATAAAAATTAATATATGATGATCAAATTTTATTCTACGTTTGAGAAATTTTATCCTGACGCATAATAAACTGTTTATCACGCTGTGACGAAAAGTGAACTAATTAATGGAAAATATTGTTCGTAACTCGTGAAAAAATGTTTTTTAGCTCGTGGGATTATATCACGAGCCGAAGGCGAGGGATATAATCCCACGAACTAAAAAACATTTTTTCACGAGTTACGAACAATATTTTCCATCACAATGTGGCGGAAATTGGACTTTTAGGCACGCGGAGCGTGCCGAAAAGTTCACTTTTCGTCACAGCGTGGTGAAAAATATTTTCCATCACAATGTGGCGGAAATTGGACTTTTAGGCACGCGGAGCGTGCCGAAAAGTTCACTTTTCGTCACAGCGCGATAAACAGTTTATTATGCGTCAGGATAAAATTTCTCAAACGTAGAATAAAATTTGATCATCATATATTAATTTTTATTCAATTTCGGGATAGAAATGAGGAAATGTTGACTCGCCTTCGGCTCGTGATATAAACCTCCCACTCGTGATATAAACCTCGCTCGTGATATAAAAAACACTTTTTTGCACTCGTTACGAAATATACTATTACCCTTCCAGTCCAATAATTTTTATGCAGATAACAACGAAAATTCTAGAACGGTTGGTAGATTGTACCCTACCGGTACAGTAATTTGTACTCTGCCGACACATTAATTTTTATTTTTATCAGAATAAAATTTCTCTAACGTAGAATAAAGTTTGATCATCATACATTAATTTTTACTAAATTACGAGATAGAAATGAGGAAACGATGACTCATGATACTTTTATAGAACGGTAGGATAATTTTTATCAAAAATTTCTCTCCGTGTAGACAACATGGCTGCTTTAGAGGTACCTACCCCTAAAGCGGTCATATTTGCGAAAGAGATGGGGCTTGGAGTGAATGAGGGAGTGTCTCATGCGTGATTTTTTTTCTAAGAGTGGTCTAGGGTCATGAAACTCGAAAGATGCAGCTAAAGTCACTCCGGGGTTCTATCTTTGCTAGAGGAACGGTGGAATGAGATGAGGGAATTTTGGTCAAGCTTCTTTTCCGAGCGACGGTTCATAATGTTTTTTGGAATGTTGTCTCATCATGTTTTTTGACGGTTTTTCACCTCTAGAGGCTCATGGGTACGTCTGAAGCAGCCATATTTGGTACCCGGATACTTGTTCCCCGGAAAATTGTTCCACATAATTTCTTTCTTTGCACCAATTTCTGTGTTAGTCGTCTGGATGGTAAGTGCTTATCTTTAATCTACCCGTCGTGTAGGAATTCAATAGTACTGTTTTTTCCCAGAAAAAGCTTACCGTGATTACGATTTTCGCCTTGAGGCTATTGTTGATACCTTCAATCACGATGAAGTTGATAAATTTTGTTGTTGATAAATATCGTTGTCTATCATTTTGAATTAATATTGATTTACATTTTTCACGCGAACGTTTTCTAGAATTTCTGGGATTATTGTTTTATTGTTCTTTGTAGAGTTCTGGGATTTCATATTGTTTGATGCGTTGTGACATGTATTTAAGGATGTATTATATCCTTTTCGCCAAAATTAACGTTTTTTATTTTTCCTTGCAAATTGTTGATCGGATTGACGAGAAAAAATATACCGTTTTTGCGGTTTATCATTACTTAATGACTCACGAAATTGCATGATCGTGCAATCACTTTCCTGCGGTTTTTCTGAAACTTTTCAGAAATTCACAAAACTTTAGAAAAAATGTAGGAAAATGACTGTACTAACATGAAACTTCGTGAGTCAGTCAATAATGATTAAACGCAAAAACGGTATATCATTTCGCATCAATCCGATCAATAATTCGCCAGAAAAATGAAAAAAAAACGTGAATTTTGGCCGAAAGGGTGTAGTACATCCTTAATGTTCTTCGTTTTTTTTTTGTAAATAGGTTCATAACCGTACAATTTGGGGTCAATTCGTTTCTTATTGTGGCGAATAAATTTTTTTTTGCATTCTATATTTTTTTGTTTTCACTCTTATGGAGGGATGATATTTTATTCCGTTGAGACTATTGTTGATACCTTCAATCACGATGAAGTTGATAAATTTTGTTGTTGATAAATATCGTTGTCTATCATTTTGAATTAATATTGATTTACATTTTTCACGCGAACATTTTCTAGAATTCCTGGGATTATTGTTTTATTGTTCTTTGTAGAGTTCTGGGATTTCATATTGTTTGATGCGTTGTGACATGTATTTAAGGATGTATTATATCCTTTTCGCCAAAATTAACGTTTTTTATTTTTCCTTGCAAATTGTTGATCGGATTGACGAGAAAAAATATACCGTTTTTGCGGTTTATCATTACTTAATGACTCACGAAATTGCATGATCGTGCAATCACTTTCCTGCGTTTTTTCTGAAACTTTTCAGAAATTCACAAAACTTTAGAAAAAATGTAGGAAAATGACTGTACTAACATGAAACTTCGTGAGTCAGTCAATAATGATTAAACGCAAAAACGGTATATCATTTCGCATCAATCCGATCAATAATTCGCTAGAAAAATGAAAAAAAAACGTGAATTTTGGCCGAAAGGGTGTAGTACATCTTTAATGTTCGTTTTTTTTTGTAAATATGTTCATAACCGTACAATTTGGGGTCAATTCGTTTCTTATTGTGGCGAATAAATTTTGCATTTTTGCATTCTATATTTTTTTGTTTTCACTCCTATGGAGGGATGATATTTTATTCCGTTGAGACTAGTTTTTAAAGTTTTTCTGGGGAATTCATGTTGTTGAGGAACATTTTTCCGCGGAACATTTCTCCTAGAACCGCCATATTTAAATCCGTTGTATATCATATCATTATCCACCGTTACCAGTATCGCCGGATTAATTGATTCGACTCATCTCCTTCCACCACTTGGCTACAAACGCAACCACAATTGCACACAAAATAAAAAAAGATGAAACAAGCATGTCAAGCTGTGCCTTGGTGATGAATACGCTTCGTCTCCGTTAAACGCTACAGATATGGTGTTTTTTCGAAAAACTAAAGAACCAAAACAAAAACAGGAGAAGAAAAAAAATGAAAGCTTTCCGTTGAATTTTGATTTTTTCGGTTATCCGATTGTTTTCCTTACTCTCTGGGTATTGTGTGAATTCAAAGCGTCGATCAGATTGTCGCACTCTGACTACCCTGTAGCCAGCTGCCCGACGAACTACCCTCTTTCTGTTCTTGCCTGCTCCCATACAAATTAACCCGGGTAAAACATCTTGTTGGTGTTATTATCGATGTAATGCTTATCAATGGACGTTTGTCAACAGTTATACTTACTTTTGACCTTGAGCCAAGTATAACTCGAGACCTCGCCCGCATCGTTCGACGCCAAACACTGGAACATGCCGGCGTACTCCATTGTAAGCCTTTTTATCACTAGCGATCCGTCTTCGTCGATGTGAAATCTAGAAGTCAACAGGTCATTGAGGCAATTGATGAAAAGTGGAGGTTCTATTACTATTCAACATGAAACACCTTCAGCACGTCAATTCAACGGCGAACAATTGGTCACATACTTGGTTTTAAGTAAATAAAATTCAGTAGTGAAGCGGTAAACCGGGTCAAGTCGATTTTGACTATTGGCCAGTTTTTGACAAATATCTCGAAATCTAAAAGAGATAGAAAATTTTTTGTCATGACCTTTTTTGTAGAGCCAATTGAGGGTTACAAAAAAGGTCATGGGAAAATTCTGCCGTCTCTCTTAGATTCCGAGATATTCATCAAAAACTGACACAAAGTCAAAATCGACTTAACCCGGTTTACCGCTTCGCTACTGAATTTATAGTAGATAGTAACAAAAATGGCAGATAGCATATAATTTTATAAAAAATCGAGTGACTAGATGACAGTGATAATGTATTATTTTATCTGGGTATATCCTGTGGGTGATTTATGCATATCTTGTTCTCTAACTCCTATCATATTCTTTCTTTATGGATTGTTGATCATGTAATTTACTTGGGTTGTCCTTAGGGGGTCCTCATTAAACCCCAGGACATAAATAAAAAGCTTTAATAATAATAATAATAATAATAATAATAATACAAACAGACGATGTTGTCTCTACAAAGTTTGACCTAGGGTCACAACAGTCTAACTTGGAGATAACAAGGATCATGAGAATTCCAGTACTTTATGGTTTCTATTCTCAAATTACTGATTTCTCAATGATCAACATGTATTAATCGACCACACGTACTCCAAAATCAACATCTTGGACATAAAGAATAAATGATGAAATACACAAAGATCTGACGAATTGAGGTGTCACCTTGAAATGATTTTGTCTTGAATTGCATTTCCTAAAGCGATTGTGTTCGTTTAACGAGGAATTCTCACCTAGACCCTATCAACTCCCCAACAGACTCGGCATTGTGGAACCACTCGATCTTCGGCGTGGGCACTCCCACAACATCACAAGAGATCTTCACCGCAGATCCATACTCTCCATAAGTCTCCCTCTTCAATTCGTTAACAAATGTTGGTTTTTCGAAGACATCAACCTGCGCACTGGCGTTGATCGTAGGGTAGCCACTGCTTCTCAGATGAACATGACATGTGTAAACCCCGGAATAAGTTGAGTTCGCTGAAATAAGTTCAAGAGTTCTGTTCCACAGATCACTGAAGCTGTAGGATATCCTCGCATTCTCGACTGGAATTCCGTCCTTCGTCCAAAGGATCTTGAGCTCGTGAAGAGATCGAGCGTTCGCAATGCAGTCGAGATAACTGACAGGCTGATCCTTGATGATCTTCGTGTCTTTGGGCTCGATGATTATGGCTGGAGGCATCTCCATGTTGTTGTCACCCTCGACCTTCAGCTGTAATGGGGGAGAGTACTCTTCTTTCCCGATCTGGGCGTTCATGGCTCGTGCTCGGTAGGAGCCCTCATCCCTCTCGTTAGCGTTTAGGATCAGCAGTTTTCTCTCGCTCATTGCGTATTTTATGTCATAGGGAATCTGACCGTCTGGTGTTGACCAGGTGACGCCCGGGGCCGGGTGGCTCTCGATTTCTGGCAGTTCGAGAATTGCCGCTCCCCCATATTGCACGCTTACCACCTTCTCCGTCAAGAAAAATAGGATAATTCGTGAATTTTGCATCCTGGGTTTTATTTTACTTCTTCTGGGGATAACTAATCTCCACGTTTCAGACGATTCTGAGTCATCTGAGCCTGACTTTACGAGACAATTTTTTGGATCGGTTTAAAGGGAATTTTATTTGTTTCAAAAAGTGAGTCAAAAGGTTGTTTAAATACTTTCTCTGGGGATAACAAATCTCCACGTTTCAGATGATTCTGAGTCATCTGAGCCTAACTCTTCTCGAGACGATTTTTTGGGCCAGTTTAAAGAGAATGCGATTGATTTCAAAAAATGAGCCAAAACATTATTTAAATACTTTCTCTGGGGATAACAAATCTCCACGTTTCAGATGGTTCTGAGTCATCTGAGCCTAACTTTTGGAGACAATTTTTTGGGACTGTTCAAAGGGAATTTTATTTGTTTCAAAAAGTGAGTCAAAAGGTTGTTTAAATACTTTCTCTGGGGATAACAAATCTCCACGTTTCAGATGATTCTGAGTCATCTGAGCCTAACTTTTCGAGACGATTTTTTGGGCCAGTTTAAAGAGAATCCGATTGATTTCAAAAAATGAGCCAAAACATTAAATACTTTCTCTGGGGATAACAAATCTCCACGTTTCAGATGGTTCTGAGTCATCTGAGCCTAACTTTTGGAGACAATTTTTTTGATCCACTTAGAAGGAATTGAATTATTTTTCCAAATTCAGATAAAAGTTGTGTTCAAACACTTCCTCTAGAGATAAAAAATCTCTACGTTTCAGATAATTCTGAATCATTTAGGCTCAACTTTTCGAGACAATTAGTTAATAATTATCAAAATATGCTGAACGAGTTTTTAGTATCATATAGTTCTAAAAAACAAATCATTCGTCTATTCGGAAAATATGAAAAAACTAAAATTTCAGCTGTGAACTTCAACAGTACAAACACTGAAAAAATTTATTTATTCATTTATTTATTTTCATTAGTTCATCGGGGGGCAATAGGTGGAACTCAGAGCGTGTAAGATCCATAGTGTATGTAAAAATAATACAAAATTGGTCAGATTTTACGCATTCATTCATTGGTAATGACGAATAGAGTAGTGATGTGGATGGAATGGTAAAGTGTTGAGATTGATGAAAAAAAAATTGATGAAAACTCCTACCTTTTCTGTTGGATCTTCAAAAATGCCCATGTAAGCAACCGAGAATGTGACACGTTCGCTGAAAACCGAGCCAACGTCGTTGGTGGCAACGCAATAGTACACACCAGCGTCTTTTCTCTTTGGGCTCTGGATCCTCCAGAAGGGCTCTGACGTCAGCTCGTTGCTCAACGCAACCCCATCCTTGAACCATCGATACTTGGGCTGTGGATATCCTGTGGGGAATCATCAGTTTTTTTCACTTTTTGCGGATTATCGTGTTACCGCTCGGGCTCTGAGGGGCTTCCTTCTCCCTCAGTGTCATGCGATCATACGGATGGCAGAGAAAAATGGCGGGTTATTATTTTCGGGACGGACCCGGAGCCCTAACTTTCTGAAAAACTGTTGAGAAAAATCAATTCTTGGGCTCTGCGAACGGGAAATCTCAAGGGTTTTGTGATTAGTTTGCTTTTGTCTTCATATAACAGTTATTTCTGATAATAAATTAGGATTATGCTTACGAATTGCCATTCTGCAAATCATTTTCTTCTATCGTACTAGCGCCACCTTTCATTACGCCACTTTTCCTGACAAATTCGATATTCCTTTTTCAACTAAGGCTCGGGTGAATTATTTTTTGAACGTTATCTCGATTGTTTTTTCGTCTTCATAATGTAATAGTATATTGTGTTACAAGTGCGTAAAGTACCACTTTTTCGTACGCACGCGGGACACATCCTATTTCTTGTAATACCTGCCGAGTTCACTGTTCGCGACCATAGTGGGGGTAAAGTGGTCGTTTTTGTGCACGGGGTGCGTAAAGTTCAAGGTCGTGCGTAAAGTGAATTTCGAGTGCGTAAAGCTTCGCTTTACGCACGTTCAGCGAGTGCCGAACTGTGCCATTTTTCGTTTACTAGTAAACAAAAAGACTTCCCTGGCCCCCTCCCACGAGCCAAAAAACTCTTTTCCGCACTCGTAACGAAATATACTATTTTGTCACTGCTGCTACGTTCAGCCCGTGTCGAAAAGTGCCTGTTCGTTTACTAGTAAACGAAATAGTATTTTTCCGGCCTATTTGCGATGGGCCATAAAACACTTCTCCCACGAGTATCGAACGATATTTTTCATCACAATGTGTAGAAAAGGGACGTTTTAGGCACGCGAAGCGTCTCGAAACGTTTTCGTGAACCGAAAAGTTCACTTTTCGTCACAGCGTGATGAAATAGTATATTTCGTTACGAGTGCGGAAAAGAGTTTTTTGGCTCGTGGGAGGGGGCCAGGGAAGTCTTTTTGTTTACTAGTAAACGAAAAATGGCACAGTTCGGCACTCGCTGAACGTGCGTAAAGCGAAGCTTTACGCACTCGAAATTCACTTTACGCACGACCTTGAACTTTACGCACCCCGTGCACAAAAACGACCACTTTACCCCCACTATGGTCGCGAACAGTGAACTCGGCAGGTATTACAAGAAATAGGATGTGTCCCGCGTGCGTACGAAAAAGTGGTACTTTACGCACTTGTAACACAATATACTATTACATTATGAAGACGAAANATTTATAGCACGAGCCGAAGGCGAGAGATATAATCCCACTAGCCAAAAAACACTTTTCCCCCGAGTATCGAACGATATTTTTCATCACAGTGTGTGGAAAAGGGACGTTTTAGGCAGGCAAAGCGTGCCTAAAAAGTTACTTTTTCGCACAGCGTGATGAAAATTTTTTTAAAATTATTGTGAGACAACCGTTCGTTGAAAAAAAAATCGCAAATTTATATTTACCTCGAGCTTGACATTGTAAAATCTTGGTTCGATTCTCAATCAAGATGTTGCTGACCCCAGACGGCTGCTGTACAAAGCGCGGCTCTTGCAAAGACTCTGCAACAAAACGACAAGATCATTACTTGAGATGAACTCTCGGTGAATGGATGATTCAATGGGTTATCTATGCACATGACGTCCAGTCGACCCACAAACCAGTCACGGTGACTTTTTCTCTCATGTTTTAGAGATGGGGCTTGTGTGGACGAAGCCGGACAAAGGCGGGGGCATGAATACCGGACGACCTGCGTGATGAGACCACTCTTGAAATTGAGGGAAATGCTCGACAAAAATGTTGAACGGGATTTCTAGAGCATGAAACGTTGGATGTAATGGAGGGGGCACGAGTGCGATTGATAAGTTTAGATAAGCAATGGCGGTAATTAAAGTTGTATTAACGTAACTTGAAGTTTGAAGATTAAAATCTTAAATAAATTTTAAACGAAAGTTAATGCGAATGGTTCCTGGATTTATTTTTCCTGTAAAAAATCCTCGGAAAATGTTTCTCCGGAAAATTGTTCCCTGGGAGAAATTTCCCCTTGAAAAATTTTTCTCATAAAAAAATTTCCATGTCACCAAGAAAAGAATCCATGTGAAGTTTCCCTGGAAAATATTAAATCAGACACATATTTGAACGCAGCATCAATTCATCATTATTGAATGTAACACAACTCAACGGATTTGATTAAAAATTAAATCGCATTGAATTTGAAATTGACATATCAACAGTGGTCGGTAAAAAACGAACTGATTAAACAATAAAAAAAGGCGATTTTCGTCATTAACTTTTTCATTTTTTCCCTTCTAAGGCAGAAAAAACGAAATTCAATTAGCATTTTCTGGAAAAAAAACTTTAAGCAAAATCCCACATGGAAAAAATTAATTTCAATGGGAACCATTCGCCGACGAAAAATTTCCGGGAATTTTTCAATGGGAAAAAAAAACCCGGCCGCCATATGAATAGAAACATTCTGGTTGAGTTTGTGCTCAATCGGCAGTCTAGTATTACTGATAATAATTTATCTAGAAGTGCAAAAATAACACAGAGTCTTAGGCGAAAATGAACTTTTCGAGGTCAGGGAGAAGTTAAAAATCTAGAAAAAATCTTGAAAAATCAGAAAAAATAAATGAAAATTCTATGCCCAATATAAAAATTATCGTCAGTGTTAAATTTATGTAATAAATAATTTATGTTTCTACGTGACCGAAATGGGGAACTAATCAAAGTTAGAATTCATGGGGAAAATCATTAATAATGAATAATTTCTTTTTTCTGCATTTTTTTCCGCGTTACACTCAACGACTCAACTGGAGTTTATTCATACTACTTTAAGCACATAAATTCAATCCCCTTTTTTCTCATCTATTTTTATGAACACTCCAGCAAACATCAAAATAGGATAAACAAAACTTGAATTTTGAGGATTACAATCTGAAATAAATTTTACACGAAAGTTAATATGAATAAAAACATTCTGGTTGAGTTTTTGCTCAATCGGCAATCTAGTATTATTAATAATAATTAATCTAGAAGTGCAAAAATAACACAGGGTCTTATGAGAAAATGAACTTTTCGAGATGAGAAGATTAAAATGTAGAAAAAATCTCGAAAAATCAGAAAGAATAAATCAAAATTCTACGCCCAATACAAAAATTATCGTCAGTGTCAAATTTATGTAATAAATAATTTATGCCTCTGCGTGATCGACATGGCGTATTATGTCGAAATACCGAAGTCAAACGAGAGACTATTGTTTAAAAAAATAATTGAAGAAAGAATTTCATGGATCAATTTCGTACACTCATCAAAGTTAGACTTCACATGGGGAAAATCATCAATGATGAATGATTTATTTTAGGCTTTTTGCTTTTTGTTCCTCGTTACACTCAACGACTCAACTGAAGTTTGTTCATACTACTTTAATAAATCCGGGGGGCGGCACTTTCGGAGGGCTGTTGGCCTTCCACGCGGCCTTTTACTCTTATTCAACGGGGAGAATGTGGGTGACTCAGGGGACTGGGATTCGTGGCTGGTGATGGAGGTCCAGTCACTGTAGGTGTGGAATTTCCTGTCTACAGCTGTTTCAATATTTTTCAGAGGGGAAGGGTTGATCAATTTGTTCCTTGTTTGTGGGTTCAATGAAATTATCGAGGAGAGGAGATGTTTAGGGGATTTGCGAGGATGAATTATATAGACATGTAGTAGAGACTTTGAATCAGTAATTTTGGATGGTCAATACATGATGTCAGGGGTCGAACAATCATTTGTTCGTGGTTAGCAGATTCTCCCTCATTAAGAATTGTTAATCGCCCATCTAACTGCACCCTAACTTTCACACATTGCGTGAAAATTTGACGAAATCCAATAAAAATTTCCATTGAATGCCCAAAAGACGATTGATATCAAACAATATAATATTTCCCCTCAGTCCACTGACTCCAGACCAATTCACAAGCTTTCCAGTCTCAGATACACCAGCCCTTTTGTCCGGAAACCGCCGACGTGGCGCTTTAATCCACTTTAAAATAAATATTCCAAGCCCGAAGTTTATTAAAGCATAAAGCACCGCGAAGGGTGTGAATGGAAAAGGAACAGTCGAGCTGGCATTTTGAGGCACGTTCTCCTCTGCAAGTAAACGCGCACTTGTGACGAATGGGCGAGTAAAAAAACCTAAAGGGGGAGGGGGGGGGGGGCAAATCTGGTGGGAGAGTTGGAGAAACACGAGTGGCGCCAGAAGGGAGGATTGAAACTCAAGCGTGCGTGCTCAAACGGAACTGCCCCCCAGCCCCTTTTGACCTCTTATCCGTATGGACACGCTGCATCCGGCGGATTAACAGACGTCCGTCTGTTGCATTTAATTCTATTTTGGTTATTCTTAGCGAGAGAGTGAGGAAAAAGGGTATACGGGGCAAAGTGGTGTGGTAGCGAATTTCGGTGGTTAAGGGTCAAACAGTGTCGAGGGTCAAACGGAAGAGACGAACGAAGTGATAACAAGAATGAAATTTTCTTGAGGGTCAAATGGGAGAGACAGACGCAGGGGTCACGAGAATCAAAAAGGAGAGACAAGCGAAGTGATCACTCCACTCGTCTCTCCCATTAGACCCTTAAGAACGTTTGACCCTTGTGGCTACTATGATCGTCTCTCCCGTTTTACCCTAAACAACATTTGACCTTCATCATTCTTTTGAGTAATAGAGATGGAAAAAGGTTATTTGTATTTTGCTTCACATTCGTTTTTTGATATCGTTCCACTTTGCCCCACTCTCTCCTGATCATTCAAATTCGACATTTCTAGGAGGGCGTGGGTCAAAATGAAACGGTATCGAATTTCGTTGTTCAAAGGTTAAACAATGTTGAGGGTCAAATGGAAGAGACAGGCAGACGGGTCAATAGGGTCAGACGGGTGAGACGAGCGAAGTACACGCGTCTCTTGCATTAGACCCTTGAGAACGTTTGACCGTTCACCATTTTTTGAGTAATAGAGATGGAAAAAAAATTAACAAAATTTTGTTCTACATTCGTTTTTTAAAACCGTTCCACTTTGACCCACGCTCTCCTAAGAATGTCGACTTTTAATGATCAGGGGAGAGTGGGGCAAAGGTATCGAATTTCGTTGTTTGAGATACACGAAGTGATCAGAAGAATCAGACTTTCTTGAGGGTCAAATGGGAGAGACGGGCTCAGGGGTCAAACGGGAGAGATGAGCGAACTGATCACTCTACTCGTCTCTCCCATTAGACCCATAAGAACGTTTGAATCTTCTCATTACTCTACTCATTTCTCCCGTTTGACTCTTGAGAAAATTTCACCCTTCACCTGTCTCTCCCGTTTGACCCTCAAGATTGTTTGATCCTAACCAACATTAGGTTTGCATTGTCACTTTTGCAAAATTTTTTCCTTTTTTTTATCGCCGATTATTCTACACCACCCGCGTGTCCTAGGTACACCTGGCCTTCACATGTGTTTTCCGCTCCCTTTTCGAGGTGAAAGGGGAGAAACGAACCCCCATTGTGCACCAGCTTTTGGCACCCCACGTCAACAACCCAACTGCCAACAACTCAACCCAGACAGCTGCCTAGGTTTCGTTCAGTTCCATTTGAAAATGAAACGGATGGAAATGTGTAATTTGAATAGTATGGGAGCTGACGGATATTTAAAAAACTTATAGGCAACGGTTTTTTAAATGGAAGAGTGATGATGTTCGTGGACGTAACAAGACTGATGAAGTCATTTTTTTATATTTTGCATTACCGAAAAATGAAAAACTGTCATCATCTCCTAAACGAAGTCATTTAGAGCAATTTTTCACAAGACATTTTTGTAGAGAATTTCATCACCTACAAAAAAATTCTTATGACATTTTCTCCAAAAACCATTCGTTATTGAGATAATTCCACATTTAAGAAATTTTAACTTTCGTTGAAAATCCAACGAAACAATAAAATCAATTCTTAACATTTTGTTTTCATTTAATTATCTCGATAATGAGGGATTTTAAGGATAAATAGGAGTTCTTTTGGTCAAGAAGCTAAAAACGAATATTTCTAATGAATCCGGGAGTGATGTAAATGGAAAATGCAACAAGACAGAGCAAAAAATAATAATTTTTCATTTGTCTGAAGGAAAATTTAAATTTAAATTAAAAATTTTAATGAAAAAAATCAAGCTTCTAGAAAAAAATTTCAGGGGACTTTTTTCCTCTGAAATTTTTGTACATTTTCACAGAGAATTTCGTCACAATTATCCGAAATAATACAAATAACCTTTTCCCGTAACATCCTAAACTCCCCATATAACTAAAAAAATCATCCAATTTCAAAGTCATCAAGACCTAATCCCAATCTTCAACGCAATGTAGCTCTTATAGAATCGTGTGAAACCGGAAATTTCTCAACTGTATCCTCACGCTCCTGTCTCCCCTCCCCATACGAGAAAAAAAACATCTAAAAATAAATCCACTCGTATTTGAAGTGGCTCCCGACCGCTCGAAGCGTCAAAAAAAATCAAAACACAACAGCGAGGTGATGCAACAACAATCTAGGTCGATTCACGCAAT